TCATTTGCTGGCAAATGGATGGAACTGGAAACTAAAATGCTAAGTGAAATAAGTAAGACCCAAAAAGTCAAAGGTCAAATATTTTCTCTGATATGTGAAAGCTAGTCTAAAATAAAGAGGGGTGAAAGAGAAAAGAAATGGGGTGAGGGCAGGAGGAATTCCAACAACAACAACAAAAGAAACATTAGGGGAGTAACAGAAGGAAATTAGTTGGGAGGGAGGAGGGAGGGAATAAGGGGAAAAGAGTGGAGTGAATCTGAACTAACTTTCCAATGTACGTATATAAATATACCACAATGAACCTCGCTATTATGTATATCCACAAGATGCTATTTTTAAAAATGTAAATAAATAGAAAGATTAATAGAGTAGAGGAAAGGGAATGGGGGAGGGAAAAGGGGTTAGGGTAAGTATTAGGGACTAAATTGGAGAAAATTATATTCTATGCATTTATAATTATGTCAAAATGAATCCTAATGTTATGTATTGTATAACCATTCTGAGCCAATWACAAATCACGAAAAAATAACGTATGAGGGAAAGGAGACCACTGGGTTACAATTAGAGTCATATGTCATTATATGCACTGGAACCTAATAAATACACACTGAATGAATAAAATCATTGAAAATAAACAACACACAWGTGAAAAGTCTCGTGTGACATCAGGAAGCTATTTTAAGGTATTCGTTTTTAGAATATAATTATTGGCATTTTATTGCCTAATTGTCATATACATTCATTATTTAATGTAGTATATAATGTATAAGTCCTCCTGGACAAAGAATTCCATATTAAATAGAAGATATTCTTTGAAAACCTATGCTTCTGTCTATAATGGATTAAAAAAACTGTAAACATGAGTAAGAATTATGCATGTTTAAAGGTGAAACAGCTACAAACCTGTTCTCATTCCATATCAATAAATATGAAACATATGTTAGAGAAGCCCCACTCACCTTATTCCAAGTAGTGTTTGCAGTTYGTAAGCTTTCTGAAAGTTTCTCTCTTTCGTGTAAGCTCAGACTTTTATCTGAGAGCATCTCCAGTTCAGTTCTATTCAGCCATTTGAGTTTTTCAGCTTCTACTTCCATCTCTTGGGTTAAGTCCTAAAGGAATCAAAGACAAGTTCAGCAGGACAATTGTTCTACTGGGCAAAATTCAAGAAATGTACTAAAAATCTCTTGGGAAAGCATTCTTATAAATGTGGGGTTTTAATTTCTCCAATGGAACATGAACTTACAAGATGCCTGAGCACATGTTAAGAAACCGGAACAGAGAGGCAAGGAAGACACACCAAAGCACAATTGTCTGTGCGTGCACAGGAACACACACTTCCATACTTTCTCTTTTAACAGGGTCATACTGTGTTTTCCTTTCTAAATTAACAMTCTAGTCTTTCTCCCTCCTTCCCCTGAAACTGGGAGTTGAACCAAGGGGTACTCGACCACTGAACTACATCCCCAGCCCCCTGGRTTTTTTATTTTGAGATGGGGGATCTAAGTTGCTGATGCTGTCCTCAAGTTCACAATCCTCCTACCTCAGCCTCCTGAGTAGCTGATTACAGGCGTGTGCCACCACACACAGCTAACACTCTGTTCTTATCTCCACCTTGATACTCCATCTTAATATAGGGTCCTTCCCTTTGTAATTCTTCCCAGATTGCTTGCAAAAGGGAAATTCTATTGATATTTTTATTAAAACAGGATAGTAGATATTTTCACATTTTACAAAGAAAGCTTAAAAATTGTTTTGCAACATATTTTTCATCATTATGAAAAAATGCCTTTCCCCAAATGCYCCAATCATATTCCTTTATGGACCAAATCTGTTATCCAGTCATTAAGTACCCTTTCACATATATTTTTATACATGCACATATGCATACACAGTCACACAATTGCTGTCTTATTAAATATAAATGTGAACACATAATTCTTATTATTCTACAACATGTACTTGCATTAACAAAAACTATAAATACTTGTGATATAAAATTTTAGGGATATTTGGATATATTTATATACCTGCATATCTTTATGCATTTTTTGCTATTATATACATGAACAACTAYAGACTATTCTTATCAGCTGCAACAAATAAAATTTCATTAAGACAATCATTACACTAACTCTCCAGTAAGTTCCAATGAATTATTGTGCACATTGCTCAAGAATTTTCTGTAAAACTCAACTTCATCAATAATAATCAGTATTTATATTCCAAATCTAACAGCAAAAAAACTATACTTCACAACAGTGTTAAATATTTTAGATTATTTTTACATAATCTAAAAATTATTTTTACATAATCTAAAAATCTGATCTAATACTAAGAGTATGGTGGTTTATCCTTTCTATGTGCATGAAGCTTTATCTTTGGAAGCTCAAAATTACAGCTGCTCTTAAAAAAAAAATTCCTCTTTAAATTCATCACATTTACACAAAGTACAAAGTTTCTTTCCTTTTCTTCTTTAGTCATGCAATCTCTTACATAAGAATAATGCCCGTGCATCAAAAGGCAATGGCAAATATAGAGACAAATGCACCACTTACTGCTAATTCCTGTAGGTTTCCTTCCAGCTCTGTAGTTGATCTCTTTTGCACAGTATTCTCAGCCTTCATTAACCAACAGATAATCTCATCTAGCTTTTTTCTATACCCCATCACTTGTTTACTTTCTCCTTTTAGYCTAAAAGAATTATTGAAAAATAATAAGAAAAAAATCTCATTAAGAACATTATATATGTGCTTATGATATCCTGATTAACTCTCCAAAAAGAAATAATTTCTAACAATTATTTTTTTTAATATTTATTTTTTAGTTGTAGTTGGACACAATATCTTTATTTTATTTATTTTTATGTGATGCTGATAATTGAATCCAGGGCCTTGCACATGCTAGGCAAGTACTCTACTGTTGAGTCACAACCCCAGCCCCTCTAACAATTATTTTTAATATGTGTTTTTAAATGAATGTTAATGATAATATATACATATGGAAGACTAAAGGCTACTTAATAAAAATAACAAGAATTTTTCCTTAATGCTATTCAAAAACATAGAAACTATAAAGAATATTATATGTACTTTATATAAAACTTTTTAAAGTTAGATACCACTGGGTAGTATAATAGAAATTTTTAAAAAACATGAAAAATGTCTTTATCTAAAATAATAAGGAAAAGCAAACAATTCTTTTTTRAGTACTTCATGCAGACAGAACAGCATCATTATATGGCGAATTATTCACATCAGGGGGCAACTTTTACTCTGCTTTATTCATAGGACAGAAAAAAAGAGAGACAAAGTGCTGAGATTAGAAAAAGATTACAAGTATTGGGGAAAAACAAGAAAAATGTAAATTCGATTAGTTCTTTAAAGTAAGCATTATGCTTGAATATGGCACACAAAGTTATAAAAAGAGATCTAGGAAAAATACAGCAAAAGTTTTAAAGGATGCAAGGAAAACAGTCAGATGAATATAAAAATGGAACTGCCTTAATTAGCTCTTTTAAATGTTATAAGAATAACATTTATAAGAATACAAACCATCTGGAAGAAGATGAGAATATGATTAGAATTCATATGACAAACATAATTGGATACTTTTTTAAAGGGATTAAAAGCTATCAGGAGCTAAGTGGTATCATTATTTTTATAGTTGCTACAATTTGGTGCTGGTTGAAAAATTGAATGCCATTTTTTAATGAATTGCATGTATCATCCCTAATCAGAATGTACATGTTTAATGGCTATGCCTTAATCATGAGGCCTAACAAAATGATGTAGTAGATGCAATAAAATATTAAATACTTATATGCTTAATGGAGCCAATAATATTGAATATTACAAAACTAATGAAAATCACTAATAAATCAGAGTTCTTAATATCCATGAAGAAAATACTGTTTCAAGATTAAAAAGCAATAATATAAATTGTTAAGGTTACCAATACTAAAACGGGTAGTCTACCCTGAAAAGAATTTGATTTAAAAACTTTGGAAATGCCCAAAATACTAGTACCAGCCTTTTATTTAAAAAAAAAAAAAAGTTGGAATTTAAGCTTCCAATATTTCATAATCATGACTAAATTAGTACTTTGAAAATAGAACTGAGAAGGAAACTAACATTATCAAGTATTTGATATTTGATATTTGAGTCACCAAAAATTTTTATCTGCAAACTAAATATAATCTACAATTTAAATGTTAGCCCTAAGTATAAAAACAAATTACAAATTCCATTCAAATCGTAGATAACAATTGCTCATTAAGGAAYAGCACAAATGGTTGAACTGTGCAAATATTTAGCTGCAGGCTTTCAATAAAAAAAAAAACTGTGTGATATTTCTCAATGACTTTGATAACAGCATGCATACACACTCAATATTTTAAGGTAGTCTCAACATAAGATAGGTYACAAACCCGAAGTTTAACATGCATTTATATAAACAAATATTGCTTTAGTCAAAATGCAACATCTGGGGCAAAAAATTCGTTATTCCTTTCATGTTCAAGAAGTGAGTAAAATAGGCATAAACTTCACTTTGTTAGTTTCAAGCACARTAATTATCACACTCTATAGAGATCCATTTGTAAATCTATAGGAGAATTTCTGCTTGTGCACTGTTTCCCTGCAGAAAGCCCAGAAGTCACCTCACCTCCAGCTGGAAGAATTCTCCATKCGAACATCTCCCCTTGCAATCCTGCCCCAGGCTTCCTAACCCTCCTCTTCACCTAATCCTCTTCAGGTCTCTCCCAGGGCCTCACTACTCATACCTCCCTCCTTTGCACGTCTGCTTTCTTTTCCCTAAAGGCTGCTCTAGTTTGGATACGGAATTTTACAAATATTAGGAGAAATGAGGAGAAAAAGATAAATTTGATTAATTTATTAAAAGAAGTATTATATTGGAATATAATCAGATGAGGCCCAAGTGTTAAAGGTTCGGTCTCCTCCTGGTGCTACTGGAAGTGAGTGGGAACAATCAGAGTTGGTAGAGGTGGGGCCAAATGAGACATCTTTAGATCACTAGGGGAATATCCTTGAAGGAGATAGTGGGATCTTGGCCCATTGCTCTTCTTTGCTTCTCTGCCATAAGCCATAAGCGCTTGGCTCCACCATGCATTCYTGATGATGTGGAAAAGTCTTCCAAATTGGTTTATGGAAGAAGTTTAAAGGAGCAAGCTAGAAAAAGCCTAAAATGTTGTAAGTGATGCTTAACAGTTGATTCTGGTGGGGTCTCAAAAGACAAGACCATTGATAGGAGTGCAATTCTAAAGGTWATGTTAAGTAGGTTTTATATAAAAAGGAGGGATTTGATGGTAATTGGACTACAGRCCAACCTTGTTGCACTGTGGCAAAGAACTGAACTGCATTTTGTCCATTCCTTGGTACGTTTTGGGAAGCCAAACTGAAAGGTGATGGATGGATTGGTTTGTCTAACACAGAAAATTTCAAAGCAGCCCAGTATTAAGGCAGCTTTTACTTTTACCAGGATTTACAGTAAAAACCACAAAGAAAGAAAGAGATTTGGAAAACTGGCAGTTGTGCTAAAAGAGAAGCATGTGTATACTTACAGACAAGATGGGTGCTATTGTAGTTGCTGGTGTCCTTAAGAACAATCCAAGTGCACAAAAACAGACATGAAGACCAATGGAACAGAACAGAAGACACAGAGACAAACCCACATAAATACGTTATGTCATACTAAACAAAGGTGCCTAAACATACAATGGAAAAAAGATAGACTCTTCAACAAATGGTACTGGGAAAACTGGAAATCCATATGTAGTAGAAAGAAATTGAACCCCAGTCTATCACCCTGCACAAAGCTCAACTCAAAGTGGATAAGGACCTAGGCATTAGACCAGAGACCCTGCACCTAATAAAATAATAATAAAAAAAAATAGGCCAAACTCTCCATCATGTCAGCTTAAGAACTGATTTCCACAATGAATCCTAAAGCACAAGAAGTAAAATCAAGAATCAACAAATGGGATGATATCAAACTAAAAACCTTCTCCACAACAAAGGAAACAATTAAGAACGTGAAGAGAGAGCCTATAGAATGGGAGAAAATCTTTACCACCTGCACCTCCGATAGGACATTAATCTCCAGGAAATATAAAGAACTCAAAAAGCTTAACACCAAAATAACAAATAACCCAATCAAWAAATGGGCAAAGAACTGAACAGACACAGCAGCAGAAAAAAGCAGCAGCAGCCGCTTGCTGCCACCAAGTATTTCTGGGTTCAGAAGGAAAAAAATAATAATATTCTGCCTTGGAAAAATAGGGAAATTTTCTAGAGGGACTCTCAGAAATTAGCAAGGTCACAGCCATCACAGGCTCAGAGATTTGTAGAGATGCATATTGATTTTAAAGACTTTCCAGGGCAGAGTCTTTTGAGAAAAGAGTCTCTGGGCTCCCTGATTTCCCAGGACCACTGCCAACAAGGCACTCCATTGCAGCCATGGGTCAAGAGGGCCCAAGTACAGTTCACTCAGGCAGCATCCATATGAYGCTTCTTTTGCAGACGTGTGAAATGAATCAGTTGTGGAATCAAGGAGGTTTCCACCAAGATTTCAAAGGAAAATCTGAGAGCCAGGAAGCATGTTACAGGGTAAGAGCTCCAGTAAGTAGCCTCCAACAGAGTGCAGCACAGAACTTTGAGAGCAAAGAACAAGCCTAACTAAGGACCCCAAGAAGATAGAAATGTTGGCAATGTGGAACATTTGCGGAGGGAAGCTGCAGGCAGTGATCCAAGCCAGCCCAGGACAGCGGCTATGTGGGCTATAAACAAAACAGTGGGGATGGGGCTCCCTGAACCCCTGAGAGACCACATCCCCACAGTGTGCCCAGGATGCCAGTCATAGAGCAGGAGGATTTCACGTTCATCGTGCTAGGTTTCAGTCTTGCTTTTGTTTTCCTATTCCTGCCTTTTGGGATGGAAATAAATTACCCATGCCTCTCCTGCCATTATGTCTTGGAAGTTTAAAACTTACATTTTGATTTCATACAGGGGCTCACGGTTGAGTTTTCTTCCAATCTTAAAGGGGAAATTGRCCTTAAACTTTTAAGAAATGCTAAAAGTGCTAAAACTTCAGGAATACTCCTGGGGATGAACTGAAGGCATTTTCCGTTGTGAAATGAACATAGATTTTTTTGGAGGCCAGGGTACAATGCTGTAGTTTGGAATGTTCCCCCAAAGGCCCAAATGTTAAGACTTGACCCCCCAGCTCTTGCAATTAGAAGGTGGTAGAAACTTAAAGAGGAGAGGCCTAGCAGGAGGTCTTGAGATTATTGAGGGACATGAYGTTCAAGGGGATAGTTGGATTACAGCCCCTTCCTCCACTCTTTTTCCTTCCCTATCATGAAGTGAGTGGTTTGCTTCACTAAGCATTTCCACCATGACATGTTGCTGCAGGCCCCAAGTCAACAGGGTCAACCAATCATGGGCTGAAACCTGCAAAACTGTGACCAAATAAAGTTTTTCTTTTAAAAGTTGATTATTTCAGGTAATTGTTATCACAACAGGAAGCTGCCTATTAAAACAACACTCCCTAGAAGGAATTCATGGACCATGGCTACAAATACCTCAAAGCTCAGCATCCAATATCCTTCCTCTTTAAGACCTAAATTTCATAGTCCATCATATCTGCCTCTCCCCTATTAGAAACGTTTTGGGTAATCATTCTCTATATATTTTCATCTTTCAAAAGTTTCTTCTTAGTCTCTATTTCTTAGTGATATTTGTATCCTCAGKACTAAACATAGGCTCAATAAATGTTGATCAAATCAATCAATCATTGGCAAAATTTAGCAAGAACATTCTGGAGAATAAGTTCTAGAATAACTTACTTTTATAAGAAATAGATGATTTTAGAGTTAACTAGGGGAGACCGGGGTTGTGGCTCAGCAGTAGAGCGCTTGCCTAGCATGGGCAAGGCCCTGGGTTCCATCTTCAGCACCATAAAAAAATATATTAAATAAAATAAAGGTATTGTGCCCAACTACAACTAAAAAAATAATTTTTTTTTTAAAAAAGAGTTAACTATGAACAGTCAAGGCATGAATGCTTTGCAAACATTGTCTCATTTAATCCTCATTAGAGCATAATTCTCATTTAGAGAGTGGAAAACTTCAGCCAGAGAGCTCTGGGGCTTTTCTAGGTTTATACTGCATAATACTTGTTAGCACCTACTTTCTATGAAATTTTGGACAAGTTACTTAACCTCTCCTCGTGAAGCCCCAGTTTCCACAGCTGTAGCAAGTTTCCTCAGAGAGTGTCTATCAGGATTGAATGAGACAATGTGTGCAAAGTCCCAAATTCTCTCTCTGCCACATAGTGATCTCTCAACCAACACATACCAATTATTGCCTGACTGTAACCAGAACATAAGAAATGCAGACTTTTTACAATAAAAAGAAGCCACAGGCCATACCATACTATTAATGCCATATATAATATTATAATAATGTACTTGATAATACCATACATTAATGCCATATATAATATTATAATAATGTACTTGATAAAGTGTTAGACAAACAAATAGCTTATAACGGAAATAATGTATCATCCACAGAGTTCAAACTAGCAGAAAAAAAAAATCTTCAACTTTTTAACCCAAAACTACAATGAAAACCACAACAAGGGCTGGAGATGGGGCTTAGTGGTAGAGCATTTGTCTAGCACTCAACAGGAACTGGGTTTGATCCTCAGCACCACAGCACTCCCCCCAAAAAATCATCAATAAGACTGGATACATTAAGCAAAGTAGAAATTGTTCACTAAGTTTCTAATTTCTCAGAAAATGACTTAAAATAATTTTAAATGTAGAATACAAAGAGAGAACATTACATACACTAGTAATCAAACATATTTCCAATCAGTTGATACCTTCACAGAATCTGGGACACTGTAGCATAGTCGGTCATGCAAACAAACAATAACATGTTATACATATTCTATTACCTAGATGAGGGGTTGATACRTGGGGATAGAGCACATCCTTCAACACTAAGGACAACCTAGTGGGATGGGTAACTAAGGCAGACTCAGCCAGCAAATGAGTGAGGCAAGGCCCCGCCAGACCTGTGTTCTTTCAACTTCCTGATGTTCCATCATAATCATCATTATCAGGATGCTCAGAAACAAAAAGAATGGAGTTTGTTTTTACATACATATCTTAGTAGAAAATCAACTTCATGATCAACCTAAAAATAATGAGGACATGGACAGTGGGAGCCTTAACTGTCAGTAAAATTCTTCATTATAATATCAGATGATAAAAGACCTTGGGATAGGTTGGATTGTATCTTAAAAGATTCAACCCCCACACACACTCCCTCCTGTACTCTCAAATGACTTCGGCGGAATCACCTGGGCTGCCTATCCTTCACTTCGGCAACGACTGCGCTCCAACGTCGGTTGACCCCTGCCAGCTTGTCTTTCAGGAAGCTTCCATCTGCTGGGGACAGTCTCTGCACAATCCCATCCCCAGCTCGATTGACTGCGACCAGGCTGGGCTGATGGCTGCTGATGCCCTCTTCAAGTTCCTGTGACAGAACACAAGCCAAAGTTAATTCCATGACACAATTCAACTGTTCTGACGCCATGCACCTACCCAAATACTGTGGCATCAGCTCAAGTGTTAGAGAAGCAGATTCCTGGAGGGTGTTTTATGTTCATAACAAAAGACATTTTAAAACAACTTAATTACATTGCAAGGAACACAGTCAATGAAATTTATCTTGAAGTTGAACCCACCCTCAGGAATGTCATCAGGCAAAATAAYGTGAAATAGGACAGCTTAATATCATAAAACAAACAACAGCTGTGTACTTTGAAGCCGAAGCATCAATCAAGTTTGATTAAAGTGAATTGCTCATCTTCTTCCAAACAACTGCTTAAATGCATCTCTTTAAAAAAAAATATTTACCCGCCATATATTCCTGGCAATACATAAATATATATCCTGCAATATTTAAAGAAACTTCAATGTCCTTTTTGCTGAAACAATGCTTCACTGGTCTGCAGAAAGTTTTCAGTAACAAATTTTAAAGRGATATTTTAAAGTCAAATTTAAACATTTATCTGTACCTCCAAAACCATAAAAATTCATTAACATATTAAAGAGAAAAATAAAGCATATCTATTTTGGGGCTGGGGATGTGGCTCAAGCGGTAGCGCGCTCGCCTGGCATGCGTGCGGCCCGGGTTCGATCCTCAGCACCACATACCAACAAAGATGTTGTGTCCGCCGAGAACTAAAAAATAAATATTAAAAAATTTCTAAAAAAAAAAATAAAGCATATCTATTTAATTCCTTATGAACCTTCTACAGAAAATACATTTTAAAAATTTAATAAAAGAAAATATTTTATCAGTGGTAAAACTGAAATTTACTTTGCTTTCTATCATTATTTTTAAAGATCTATTGTTATCAGAAATGATGTTGCTATTGTSTTATGTATTCCCAGAACTGAATTAGACTTACATGAGCAGCTGTCCTGCTGTAGATCAAGAAAAATTTAATTTTATGATAATTATCTATGATGCAAAGTGTTTGAGGACAAAAAGTCACAGCTAAGGTACGTATATATTTTTCTGTGGTTGATATAAGTTTGGGTACAAAATTTTACAAATATTATCCTGAATACAAATTGCAAGAGAAGAAGTCATTTTTACACAATTTTTTAAATGAGATTGTTTCTCACATTACCCACCAATGAGCAGTTTTATTTAAACTTCTTTAAAATCCTGATAGAAAACTATATATGACCAGTTTTCTTGTAAACCCTGGAAACCAGAAACTAAATTGGGAATAAAAATCACAAACTACAAATGTACTCCTGAAAAATTAATATATGCAGTTCGTACTTCTGAAATCTGTCTTAACAGCCACATGCTAAATACATATGCAACCTTTTGGCAGATCCCCTTTCAAGAACAGAAAGTGCTCACCTGCTGATGCATCCTGGCATTGTCTAAGTCCAGGCTGCCATCTGGAGCACAGGTGTCCCCCAGTAACTCTTCAGCTTCCGTTATCCACTGTGTGAGGTCGTTCAGGTCACAGTGGAACTGTCTCCATTCTTCCACAGCCCTATCAAAATGACTAGTGGACAAGAAACAAAATAGGTTTGTGAACTCTCCAGTACTGCCTAGAACCAATTTTTCTAAAAAAAAAAAAAAAAAAAAAAAATTCAAATACCATTTAAAATGAAAGCCCACAATGGAGTGGATTCAGGGCTATTATACTACAAGACCAATTTTTGTAGTGGGTTGTAGTTAATAATTCCTTTTAGAGAAACAAGCATCACAACAAAAGCAAAGCAAAAAGCAAATGCCGCCCCTCCCTCTACTATCCCCCCACCCCGCCCAACACACACACCAAGAGAGCTTTTAATATAGAAAGATTTAGCCTTCTCTGGCTTGCAAAACCAAAAGTGTTTAGCTTAGACATGTTAGCCTACCCAACATTATATATTTAACATGAAATACCATAAATTATAAAACATGATCAATTATTCTCTTAGAAACGAAATATGTTGTTTTACTACCAGAACAATTAGTTCGAAGCTAGAACAGGAAGCCAAGACATCTCAGATGCTTCACAATTTTCAAAATTTCCTTATACTCCATTATTTCTATCTTATGGACTGAATTCTGTCCCACCAAAATTTACATGTGAAAGCCTTAATCTTAAAGGTGACTACTTGAAGATAGGGCTTTTAAGGTGGCACATGTCTGTAATCCCAGCAATTTGGGAGGCTAAGGCAGGAGGATTATGAGTTCAAAGCCAGCTTTAACAACTTCGMAAGGCCCTAAGAACTTAGCAAGACCCTGTTGCTAAATAAAATAAAAAAGGAAAAAGTGGCTGAGGATATGGTTTAGTGGTTAAGCACCCCGGTTCAATCCCCAGTACCAGAAAAATAAAAAGAACAAAAAGAAGAAAGAAAGAACACGATCAATACACTACAACCAATAAAATAAGATTCAACACTTCAAGTAAATGAAACCAAATAAATAAAGAAAATAAAGCGATAAAGTAAAAGATTTGATAAGAGGAGGCTTTTCTAACAAAAGAGAAGATAGCCCTGCACTTACAATTTTGAAAATCCCCTGGAATAAATTGTTTCCCAAAGGAAATATTTTTACAATCAATAAAATAGTATGTGTATCTGCAATCAACATTACTAATCAGCACAGTTATTGAAGTTCCACCACATTAGCAACATGCACATATGCAAATAAGATAATTAAAAAAGAAAAGTTATCATTATATACACGTAGTATGTTGATAAAATGAAAAGGCCAACAAAATCAACTTTATATCCATAGACACACACACTCTTACATACATGGTACAGAAAAAAAGGTAACATATACCATCACTTCAAAAATAAAAAAGAAAAATGTATAACTCTTTTGTAATAGTCCTGATGAGAAAGTTTTACTAACCCTTCAAACTTTACTGATCTCAAAGGAAACAAATAATAAAAATAATTTCAAATTGAACACTCTTCCGTAAATTAATTAAAATGATTACAAGATTTCATTGGAAAAATACAAAAGATTTTTAGAAAATAACTGGTGGGGAAAGAACATTAATTTCAGAATAATTTGGGAAAATTTATTGTACTGGATGAATAAATTTGTTTTAAAAATGAAAATAAGGTATTTGCTTTAAAATAATGGTATTATTAAGACAGAATTAGCAAAATTAAATAAATATATTTTAAATTATGATTTAAAGGAAGTATCACCAAAAAAAAGAGATAAATTCATTCAATAAAAAGTAATGAAAATGTTGGCTGTTCCTTTAAGAAAAATGAAGCCAAATAGAGCTAATCAGTGCTTCTTAATTCAGGCAGCATAAAAAATTTGCTGAACAATGTTTAAGAAGTGTAAATATAGCCAGGCAATGTGATTCATGCCTATAATCCCAGCTACCTGGGAGGCTGAGGCAGGACGATCAAAAAATGGAGCCCAGCCTGAGCAACTTAAGAAGACCATGTCTCAAAATTAAAAAAAAAAGAAGGGAGCAAGGGGCTAGCAGCACTGCTCAGTGATAGAACCCAGCACCAACACAAAAGAAAGGTAGAGATACATGAATCCTACTCATGCTACTGAAGCTGGTGTATAGTACATATCAAAATRAATTTCAGATGGATTAGATTATTAACTGTGCATTTTAAATTAAGCAAATAAAAAATTGGGTCTTGTTGTAGTTTGCCAGGGTAAGAGGAAGTATTGTGGATTGAATCAGTGGGCACTTTACCAATGAGCTACAACCCCAGTCATTTTCACTTTTTATTTTGAGACTAAGTTGCCCAAGCTGGCCTCAAACTTGTGGTCCTCCTGCCTCAGTCTCAGGTCACTGGGATTACAAGCATGCAACACTGTGCCTGGCTAAAAAAATTTTTTAAAGTGTACATAAATATTTGCTTCATAGTAAAAAGTTAACTTACATGCATATAAGTTTCATTTAAATTAATGAAATCACAAAGAATTATAAGAGAATTACATAAAATTTTCCACATCTCAAAAAACCACCATTAACAAAATTAAAGGACACAGAAAAGCTATGTCCACTTAAACAACAAGAAATAAAACCATAAATAGCTTCTATCTTTAATGAAAAAAAAAGTTTTTGCAAAAATAAGCTAAAAGTATATCATGATTAAAAAAAGAGCAAATCTGAGGCAAAGAATATTCAAATCTCACTGATAACAAAGAATATTCAAATCTCACTGATAACAAGGTGAAATAAAACTGATATGGAACCTATTGCTATAAAATTGGCAAAGCTCTTTTTAAAAAATCCCGTCAATATTATCCAGGGTTCAAAAGGAAGAACACATTCTGTCGGCAGAAGAACAATAATCCAGGGCTGGGGTTATAGCTCAGTGGAAGAGCACTTGCCTAGCATGTGTGAGGCACCCGGTTCAGTTCTCAGCACCACATATAAATAAATAAAATAAAGGTCAGCAACAACTAAAAAATATTTTTTTAAAAAAGAAGTACAGTAATCCAAAGTCTTAAAATGTTACTATTATTTTTAATCAAATAATCAAGTCTATTTTATAAGTATGGTTAAAGATGTACTTAAATGGATATTTTCTAAATGTACAAAGAGATGATACTAAAAATCCCATTCAAAGGAATAAGTTAAGGGCTATTAAAAGCTATCCTCTTGAGGTTTAGATAGTCACATGAAATATGAAAAAGGTTAAAATGATGCCTAGTTTTTGCATCTCTGAAGTTTTCCAATATATTACAATGTACTGTCCTGTGTTAACACAGTACTTTATGTCATCTTATTTCTCTTATTTTTCCTTTCTTTTTTTTTTTTTTTTTTTTTTTTTGTACCAGGGATTGAACCTAGGGGAGCCACATCCCCAACCCTTTTTATTTTGAAACAAGATTCACTTAGTTGCTAAACTTGACTTGTGATCCTCCTGCATCAGCCTCCTGAGCTGCAGGGATTACAGCACATTGAGCTATTTCATACTTTATTTGCATTTCCAATACATTCACAGCTATTGACTAAAATTCTAACCAGATTTATTTCCACCTATCAATAGGCCTGGTCAAAAATCTAGTAAGAAAAAGGATTAGAAACAATCTCTCAAACAGAAGATTATAAAAGATTATAGATGGACTCTGTCACTGTCTTTGATCTTCATCCACATTAATCAAGTGTGTACAAAAAGTATGTGCATTTTAGTAAACTAAAGACCCTTTTTAATTTTTTAAAAAAAAATGGATACTATTTAAATACTAAAAATTAAAAGTGCTTCATTATTATTAAGACATTATGTTAAAACATGTCATCTATTTGTGATCAATCTCCTCTTTAAGGGGCTGTATTCATAACAATTTATTAGATACGCCAAATTTCAAAAATATAAAATAAATTCTCTATACAAGTAAACTGTTTCATGGCACATGAACTTGTAGACATATTTTTACAAATTAAATATTAACTTAGTTTGTACATACCCTTTACGATCATTGTACATTCTATTAACTCTGTCCCACTTTGCATTCAATTGAGTCAACATATCCCTGATCTGAATGGCTTCAGGTCCCGAGGCTTCAAGGATAACATCTGGTTGCTGTTCATGAATAACTGCAATCTGCTCCCCAAGTTTGTCCAGTTGGTCTTTGATATTCTAAAAAACATATTGTCATGCATTACCAAAATCCAGCAAAATGGTAAAGAATCACAGATAACCAAAAATACGTATTGTGTAATGCTCATTTAAAATAATAATGAGGACAAACGTTGTTGTTGTTGTTGTTGTTGTTGTTTTAATGAACAGCTGCATTGGCCAAAGTGTGAGGAATGTAATACAAATGGCAAGGGGGAAAATTCTCACTGATGTTCAAAGTGGCTTTTGGACAGGACATGAAAACCTCTGTTACATTCTGAAAAGGTAATGGAGCATTCAAGACTGGAATTATTTATATTTTCAAAGATCTAATTATGATAGTTTAAATGACAGAAATGAACTATATAAGTTATCAAACCTATCAGTGATATTATTGTGAGTTTATATGTAAATGCAATCAAATTGTACAACAAAGCCTAGACAGAATTTAATAGTTTAACTAACTCAGAATCAAGATGCCATATACCATCCCAACTGGCCAATCTTAAATCATTTAGATGACCAGACAAAAGCTGACATTTCACTCAAAGGACAAACAAGTTTGTAAGACAGGAATATGTTCTCTACTTATGTTTAAGGTCTCTGCTGTTGCAAAAATAAGTCATAACTGTTCATATATAAAAATTCATAACCAATTTTTTTAAAATAAAATTTTTACTATAATTCACTGGAGAGTATAAGAAAGTTTTGTTATTCATATCCATTAATTATTCCTTGGTACAATTTTAAAGGATCTGGGCCATCTAAGTGGGCATGATAATTCTGGCTATTCCCTCTGCAGTGCCTGCAGATTTACCTTCAGTGAGTCTTCCTGAAAAGAGAAGTCTTCATAGACAGTGTTTTTTAGTTCAGGAATATTAAGTGATAATTCCACATCATCCATGGTAAGTAAAATTTTGTTAATTTCAACCACATAATCCGAGGGGACAGGTGATGATCTCATTCCAGAAGCAAGTGGACTTGTTTTCCTCTGTTGGATAGGGATGGCCTAGAAAACATTTTTGAAAAAACAGTGCACATATTTTAAAAGAGCCCCACACTGAGTAATAGCAAATTGAGAAAAATACAAGACTATTATGTGGATGCATTCAAAACCATGAACCAAAATAAAGAATTTTAACCACAATTTTTTAAATTTTAAAACTGTATTGCTAYAGAATCCTTAATAATCTTTATTCTAATTTTTAACTGATATTAAAACAGCTTTGATTAAGTTAATGTTTGAAAAGTTTCTCTTTAAGATCTAAGTTATTTAAACTCACTTTGCAACCAGGAGACATAACAATTCCTTTCCTAAATTGTTGAAGAAATGAGAAAATGTGGCCAATAATGAAAACTTTGTTTTCCCTTTCTTTTKCAATATGGGGACTGAACCCAGGTCCTCACACATGCTAGGCAAGCACTCTACCACTGAACTGCATCTCAACTCTTTTTCATTTTATTTTGAGACAAGGTCCTTAATAAGTTGTCCAGACTGGTCAAACTTGTGATGCTCCTGCTTGAGCCCCCCAAAGAGCTGGGATTACAGATATGTGCCASCACACCTAGCTTATTTCACCATTTTAAAAATATCACAATTAAACACTTCAGGGCTTCACTGCTGAAAACATAAGTTAAACTTGTTTTTGAAACATCACAAGTGGGCAAGGTGGTATACATCTATAGTCCCATTTACTTAAGAGGCTGAGGCAGGAGGATTGCAGATCCTGGAACCCAGAAATTCAAGGCCAGCCTAGGCAACACAGAAAGACCCAATCTCAAAAAATAAGTTTAAAAAAATTAAAATTAACATATGAAAGACAGTGGGAATTTCAATTAAAATACTATCCAGGTAACTCATTATATAATCTTACCTTTAAGAACAATATTATATAGCATGAATATTCTACAGAAAACAATGGATCCTAAAGTACTAAAGTTGACAGCCTTGAGGCTCTGTGAACTACTCATTTGCCCTGATGTAATTATTCTGGATCTTCTATTCAGAGCTTTCTCTATAATAAACTGTTCTCTAGGCTGGGCCACTTGCATAAGGAATTCCAGTCCTTTACTCCTATACGATTATAATTTAATAAGTGCTATTTGCAAAAAAGACAAAATATAGCTACTTACAAATTAAGGTACCTTCCTTAACATTTTTACTTCCATGTTGAATTTTTAAAAAGTAATATTCATCTATAAATTCAAAAATGTTAGTGGAAATGATCACAAATGCCTATTCATTCAGTTAGTGACCTTGAAAATGCTTACAATACCTAAATGAAACAATGAAACCTAAGGCTCCAGACTCAAATTTGTGAGTCAGTAACATGGTGTTAACTTCAGAGGTCTGTATTTATTGCCTCCTAGAATTTGATGAACTACTGCTTTCATCAATTCCTGAGCAGCCAGGTAGGAAGTCTACAGGTTTCCTGACTTTACCAATAGGATTAATTACACTTCTAATATTAATTTTACCATCCTCATACCATATATTTAAATTTTAGTCAGAAAAAAAATTCTAGATATGTGTGTATATTGTCTACAAGAGCAAATTCTATTTTTAAGCAATTATAAAAGAATGCCGAAATAAATAATACATTCGCCCAAGAACCACTTTTGGCTTTAATTTTGGTTTTGGTTTGGTTTCTGTGGCACTGGGGACTGAATCCTGGATGCTCTAMCACTGTACTACATCCCAAGCCTTTTTATTTTTTTATTTTGAGACAAGGTCTTGCTAAGTTGTTAAGGCTAGCCTCAAACGWGTTATCCTCCTGCCTCAGCCCTCTTAATCATGGGGATTACAGGTGTGTGCCACCATACCTGGCAAGAACCAGCTTTCAATTAAAAAATGCTAAAAGAAAAAAATATAAAATAATGTCTTCTTGTTTTTATTTCCAATAAGATAATTTGGGAAGATCACAAAATGAGGCTTAACTGTTTCATCTTATCTTTAAGGAAAAAGAAAACAACCAATAAAAGTACATATGGGTTGAGTGATATGTCAAAGGAGTAGAAGAGAAACTGGGTCCCCTTCTCCTGCATGGCTTCCTACCCATGAATCAGGATCCTGCAGACAGGCCATCTGGTGTATTCAAGACCAAAAATGGCTCCAGACTTGGTGTCTGTAGGACATTTAACTTTGTAATGCTTTTCTTCATTGAGTTTCATTAGGTATAACCATGTGCCAAATTTTTGTTTTAAGTTTGCTCTAGTGGATATGTCTGAGAGCCACTTTTCTACCTCAGCAACTTCTCCAAGATCAGGGATTCTGTGCTGCTTCCTCAGTTACATAACAGACTGTCATTCGTCAAAGCCACCTGGACCTGAGGCTTTAGAATGAACTGGGGAGGTCAGTAGGTATTAAAAAGCTCTAAGTTAAAAAAAWAAATCACATTCATCAAGACTGCCTCTTTTTCTGTCCAGACTGTAAAGACAACCCAGGATTTTTCTGGGCTTTCATACTCGTGCAGAGGCAGCAAGGCAGTTCAAGATGTGCTTTCTATATTCCCAGAATAGATTTCCCCCCCAAGAGAGTAATCAATCAAAATGCCTTGAAGAAGGAAAAAAAAATGTCCTTAAGATCTGACCTGACCTAGACTTTCCTTCTGGAAAATTTTATTTTTAAAGAATTCTGCAAAGACACAGAAACAGAAAGACACTACAGGTTAGTATTGAAATGAGACGGTGTTACATGATATGGCTCATCACACCAAACTTGAGTCTAAATAGATGGAGTTTATTTTAACTGAGTATTTTATAAAATCTTATATAAGTTTTGTTTTTGTCAAACTATAGGGAGGAAAAAGACAGAACTACACAGAATTGACCCTTTACCAATTCTTGAGGATAAGAACTTTTAGGTTAAAAGACATGAAAAAAAAATTAAAAATCACATGTGGCTAAATAAAAATTTTAAATCAGTACATGTTAAAGGTAAACTAATTAGAAGATGAAAACCAATAAAATAATGTTATAGCAAATATGACAGGGGGCTAATATCTTTATTTAATAAAGCCCTCATGCATATTTCAGATTAGTTACAGCCTAGTCCACAAACGGGAAAAGGTGATCTAATACATATTTCAAATAAGAAAATGAGTCCTGTAATTGGTGGCCTTCAATCTTGACTGTACATTAGAATCATCCAAAAAGTTTTTGTTTTCCTAAATAACCACATCTAGATTTTACTTGAAAGATTCTTATTGAAGAATTCAATTGAAGGTACTGCTGTTTTGGGTTTTTTGTTGTTGTTGTTGTTGTTGTTATTGTTGTTTTATTTGTTTGTTTTTCAACTTCCTCAAATGATTCTAAAGGTCATAGTTAAGAACAATATTGATTTAGAAAACTATATATCATATTTGAAAATATATATATATATATATATATATATATATATATAACATATTTGTTCTAATGAAACAAGTAAATCATTTTAGTTACAATTAATAAGGCTAATGAAACCACATGGAATGCACCTGAAATAGCTTAAAGCTTTTTAAAAATTAATGTATGTATTGAAAGCCTAAAAATTACTTCTATTTTAGATCAGTAATAATTGCTGATTTGAGATCTAAAGTTTAAAGAAGAATATACTCCTCAATGGAACACTTTCAGATAATGTCTACATAAAAAGATTCATTTTTATATAATTGAAAGTGAATATATGACAATTTTAATAAAGATAAACACAAGAAAATAACTTCTAGTGTTGTCTAAGTGTGGGAAAATTAGCACTCTCCCCTCTTCATTATGGAAGTATTAACTGGCATAAATTTTCTATTGGGTTGTTTGGAAAATCTAGTAAATAGCCAATGTATGTACAACGTCACTTCAATAGCAAGGAATTCTAAGAATTGATCCCAAGAGGCATTAAGAGATGAACATTCCCTGGGTTCAATCCCCAGTACCAAAAGAAAAAAGAAATGAGCATATAGATACATGTAAGATGAATGAGAAATGGCGTGGAGTCTCCAGGAAGTACAAGGAGAGACAGATCCTTTAAAAAGTCCCAATAAAACAAATTACTCTGATGAAATCTGATACGTGTTAGAAGTGAAAAATGGAGCTATATCTGAAAAGATAATGCATTTTTAGGGTAAAAGAAAAAGAYAAAATCTCTCCAGGAAGTAGGAGTAGACTCAGAGGTGCCAAGGTGGATAGTGCGTTTAGGAAAATGTAAAGAAAAACCAGCAAAGCTCTCTACATGGGGAGGGACAGAAAGAAGACGTAGCCTTGAGATGATGTTATACTGATGACTCTTGCACTTAAARCCTCTGTATTTTGCAATCTTTCTGAAGGTAAAGGTATGGCACAATCAGCTATAACTTTGGGGAAAATAATTCTGAAGAAAATAAGAAGGATTGCACCAGAGTAAGAAAAACTGAACATAAAAAAAAAACCTGAAGGGGACACATTATAACAACTGGGGAGAAAACCATTGGTCTGGGAATAACGGAAAAGTATAGTGAACCAAGAGATGTTAAGGCACTTTCCCATGGTCCTATAATAAGGATTGAGTGCTGACTTCCAGTTCAGACCTATATCTGCTTCATTCAGTCCCATGGTTTTGTTCTCTGCTTGACGTGGAAGAGGAACATGGTATGTGGGATCAAGAAATAGCTGAGTGATGCTAGAGTCTGCCCTGAGAGACTGGCTAGTTTTTAAGGTCATTGACTGAGGTAGAAAATAAATCAGGAAAMATGAGGGTATGGGGAAAGGGCAGTCACTTTGAGGCATATCACAAGGCTGCATCCAGTAGCAAGCCACATCTACACTGGAATCGATTCAGAGTCCAAAATCATCAAAGCAAACCAATTCCTTAGGAGTTTCCATAGAGCAGACCCCTTGGGATCACCAGACCCAGTTACGATGCAGCACTGTCAACTAAAGGCGAATCCTGTTCTTGAATATAAATCACAGTACATCAGTTTCGACTGGTTATTTATGAACTAAAAAAWTTTTTGATGTGCCCAAGACCTCCACATATCAAATGCAGAACTGAAGGAGAGAGTCACTTCAGAAAAGGACTGAWTTTTTTTCTACGTTTCATACATGATCAGAAAAGACCACTAATAAGGTTTTATTCTTCTACTTCTTTGACTCCTGCCTCATCCAAAAATATCAGTCTATCTAGTAAAATGCATTAAAGGAGGAGATAATATCCCAACAGGTTTCTTTTAAAGCATCCAAGAATATGAAATCAAACAACCCAATGGCAGGAGCTGAATAAGTTTTGTAAATGCAACCAGGATTCTCCCATCAGACCTTAATTTTGTTGTATCTTGTGTGCAAAAGTAACAACTGCAAACGGATCTTTTCTTTCCTATTGTCCTCCATAGGCTGATGGAGCATTTGTTCTCCTCTTCGTAGAACTTCCTCAATCTGGGCTCTCTCCTCGTCCATCTGAATGTTTAAAGGGAAAAATGATTCAAAAGAAAAATGCATAGTTATTTACTATCATCAGCAAGTGAGAGAACTAACATATGAAGTACAGCAGAAGTCATCATAACCTGAATGATAAAAATAATTCATGTTTCACTTAAAATACTTCATATTTGAAATTAAAATATCCCAAAGCTAGTTTWGCACAAGTTACGCTAAGGATTACATAGTCAGCATGTGGGTGGGGTGGAGTTAAGCATGATTACATAAAGCACTTGACAAATCTTACACTGACACTTAGAAAACCTGGATTTCTTCAGTCATGATTGGCAGGTTATGTGGGTAAAAATATAATTAAAAGAGAAGAAAAAAAATGAGACTGCGGTTTTACAAATCCCCTCCAACCAACCTTTTCATTATCATCACTGGATTCCGAGTGTTTTTCCACAACTTTTAACATGCTTTCTATGTCATTTTCTAATTTGTTCAAGTCAGAGAAAGGCACACCAGCTTCAAATGCTTCGGTGGTAACCAAATGTTGGTACGACAGTGGCTCTTGACCAATAAGCAGCTGTAGAAGAAAAGGGGATCTCTGAAGATGTATTCTTAACTTTCCCCGAATAACCAGAGACAGGGTGTCAAGAGAGGAATGATCATTTATTGGAACTGACTTTAATTTAATTCATTCATATAGCAACAATTTTAACCACATGGGCTTCTGTGAATGACCTGTTTTCTCCAAAGTCTAGCAGAGATGTGAGGTAGTGTGTAATTGACTATGGCTGTGTACTGGATCCTGAGAGCACATGTGAGCATAGAAGGCAAAAGCAACATTCAAAAGCCATCCCTGCCATGGCCACAGAAGGGAGAAATAGGACCCGCCACCCAGTGGAAGGACATCCACAGAATGTTTCCCAGTCACATTGCCCCAGAAGCATTTCTCTTGGACTGTGATACCCAACTATTAAAAAAAAAAAAAAAAATACTTCTCAATGCAACATTTTCAGGTTAAGCCTATATGAAAATATTTGTATTTCTATAACAGTAATCACCAAATATTTTTTTAATAAAACTAAATGCAGGAAAATGGCACTTAGTGTTGGCTAAGTGCGGGAAAACTAACACTCTCATAACCTCATTATGGAAGTATTAACTGGTCTAAACTTTCTAATGGGCTGTTTGGAAAAATCTACTTAACAGTTAGATGCACAATTTTGCTACAATTATAAGGAACTCTAAGAATGAATTGACCTCAGTGACATAATAAGAGAAGAACAAATAGATAAGTCTAAAATTATCTTAACAAATGTAATACTCATAAAGGCTCAATGAAAGTGGAAAATGAACTTAGAAAATCTTAACAGATCACCYGATGAAATACTCTGTGACCATTAAGAATCATGTCAAAGGAGAATATGCAAAACAATCAAAAAATTGATATTTAAGTGTCTCTTATGAATAAAAGCAGATATAAATGGCAAAAGATTTGCAGAGGTTATTCATAGGGATGATGGTAAAATTTTTCTTTGTATTTCCTGTTACTCTATCCTGTCTTGTTCATTGTTTTTTATACCAAGAAAATCTCCCATAAATCTATTGAAAAGAATAAATTTAGATCATACAGTAAGGAGATAAGAAAAACAAAAGCCAAAGCAAGATTTTTGTTTATTTTCTTTAAATTGTGAATAATCTAAGCATATTCATAACTATAAAAGATAATTTGGCTTACTCTATCAGATATTTCAAATTAAAGCAAGGTTAGATAATTTTTATTCCCCCCCCCACACACACACACACACAAAAGTGTATCTGTCTTCATTGATAATCTCAATACACAACTCTCTAAAGGTTAACAATATAAAAATGCTCTCCTGAAAAGAAACTGAACAGGAACATCATAGAAAAAGAAATACAAATGGCCAACAAATATGTGAAAAAAATGTTAAACATCTCTAGCAATTAGAAAAGTGCAAATTAACACTACACTGATATCCCGGCTCACTCCACTCAGAATGACAATTATCAAGAATAAATAAATGTTGGCGAGGATGTGGGGGAAAAGGCACACTCATACATTGCTGGTGGGACTGCAAATTGGTGCAATCATCTGGAAAGCAGTATGGAGATTCCTCAGAAAACTTGGAATGGAACCACCATTTGACCCAATTATCCCACTCCTCAGAATATACCCCAAATGACTTAAAATCAGCATACTACAATGTTTATAGCAGCTCAGTTCACAACAGCTAACCTATGGAACCAACCTAGGTGCCCTTTAACAAAGGAATGGATGAAGAAAATCTGGTATATATACACAATGGAATATTAGTCAGCCATAAAAAGAATGACTTTAGACTTTTGTGAGTAAATAGATGGAACTGGAGATTATCATGCTAAGTGAATTAAACCAATCCCCAAAAACCAAAGGTTGAATGTTCTCTCTGATCTGTGGATGTTAACACACAATAAGGTGGAGGGAGGAATCGAAGGTTTGTGGATTACACAAAGAGAAATGAAGGAAATGGAGGGGAGATGGAAATTGGAAAGACAGTAAGATGAATCAGACATAATTCTCCTTTGTTTATATGTGAATACACCAACAGTGAAACTCTACATCTTGTACGGCCCCGAGAACGGGATCCTAATARAATAAGTTATACTCTATGCATGTATAATACGTCAAAATACACTCTACCGTCAAAATATACTCTATCTATATCTAAAAAAAAAAAAAAGTGAAAAAATTAATTAATATTTTAAAAGATGCCATCCTATGGGYACAAGCCAAGATCCTGAAAAACACAGACTCCTGTGATTCCTGAGAATGGCACATGGTTTAGACAGCCCTGACCTCAGCTCAGCCTTTCCCCCACCAAACCATCAAAATATGCTCATCTTTTCCACTTAACACTTACTGAAGCATCCACTCCTTAAAGCATGGCAGTCGAATGCTCCCTTTCTTTCCCTTATAAAACAAGAATACAGAGAGAAAATGGGAAAGACACAGAGGCACAGCATCACATTGGAGCACAGATGAACACCTTTTTACAGAGAAAAGCTCTTACTTATCTCTTTTAAAATTCATAAACCCCTTCTTTAAATTTATTAAGGCAAGCAGTACACCTCTCTGTAAAATCTAAACTCTGAAGTTACTTGCAATTTTTGCATTTGTCTATGTGTAAGCAAAAAAAAACAAGTGTGTTCAGTTCATATGACAGTATGACTATGAAATTATGGGTTTAATATTCATGCCTTCCTTGGGAATTAATCTCATTATTTCATAGTTAATTTTAACTTCGAATTGAGTGTTTGAAAACTTTTCTCAAACGGGTTGTTTTCTTCAATGGTAATTCCTTGTTTTCTCTCTAGAGGCACAATCATGAATAAAAGGGACAAATGTTCCATTCACAGAAAAAAGCAATTAAAGTCATTTTAATTTTTAAAAATTATGTATATGCCRTATTGCCATCTATCATTTAGACACATTCCCATAAGGAAAAAAAATGGTTTTCTCTAAAAATTTAATAACTTACTTTGGCACTTTTGATATGTTGAGACACCTTTTCATAGTTTCTATTCAGTTCAGCTAATTTTGGTTCTACAAGCTCCCTGCTTGCAATTCCACGTGCATTCATCAAAATAATGGCTTGATCACGGACATTTTCAACCTGAAGGTTGGCATCATCCAGCTCAGATATTAAACGCTAATTGTAAAAAGAAAAAAAAAAACACAAAATTATCCCATGGGAAAAGTCAAAATCTAACTTGTGTGTGATGCTTACTCAGAATTAGAGGTGGTTTAAGTAAATGTCTGGGATTCCTAATAAGAATCAGCACAATCAACCAGAGCTGTTCATATAAAACTTATTGGTGATTTCAGCTTTTCCCACCAACTAAATGTTAATAAATCAATTGCGTGAGAATAACTTGAACACAAGTAGCTCAAAACATCCACAAGAGAAAAGACATTTGCAAAAAGTTCTACCCCCTGCCAGGTCTGGCTGATGTGTCTAGACTTGGTACCTTCACGATTTCTTCCCGTTTATTCGCTGGTTTTTTTTCAATCTCATCCAACAGAGCTTCAGCCTGATAAAGCCAGGTACTTATGTGAGCAACGTTTCCATCAAATATTTCCAGCTGGTTTTGATGGTTCTACAAAGGAATTAATAAAACGCTGACACAATCACATGAAATATTTAAGATGATAATCTTAGAAGAGATTTAAAAGACCTTCAAAGAGCAAACCGTATGCTGAATTTAAAGAAGGGTTTCTACCTCCCTGCAAAGCTCTCTTTACTGAATAAATCTCAATACTAAAAATGCACAGCTATGGCTAAGCATTTTTAAACTTGACTTAGATCTCAACACAATACAAAGTTGAAGAATAAAAGACGAAAGTTTCTTTTTCAATTTCAAGTTTGTCTCTTATTCCTCTTTCCTAGATTGCAACTGATCTCATTATCCCTCTCAATCATGTATTTTAAAAACTCATTAAATGCAATCACACTCAACCTATTCCATTCTGCTGGCTCCACAAACTACATCTGCAGAGAGGACAGGGCCAGTGTCTTTTCTCTCAGTATTGCCAGCACTGAATACTACACCTGGCTCAGACTGCAGTCCTGTTTCCTGGGGTATGACATACAATGTGACTGAGAGAACAAAACAGAAGCAAACAGCTGAGCAGATTAAAACTGGGGAAGTTGTTGAGGCTGAGGAAGTTAAACTTGACCACAAACAGGGGGCAGGCCTTMTGATGAAACTGACAACTTCATGATATTTTATAGGAAAAAGGAAACTAAAAAAATCTTAGAAGACTTAATGAAAGGAAAAAAAATATTAATCTATGACACAGAAAAATCATTGAAATAGAAAATGTGRACTAATAAATGCTATGGGCAAAAGGCTAACAGTGTGCTGCCTTCTAAAAAAGAACAGAGAAGAACCAGATGCACGGATCCCTGTAACACAGCTACACAGATTGTTCTAACAGAACTAGAAAGATGTTGCCTGGAAGGAGAATTCAGAAGGTACAAACTGAAGAATATAGAAGCAAAGTCTGTAAGGATGTGGAATAATCTAGTAACAACAAAAGTGAATATATAAAATATTCAAGAGCATTTTCTATGAGCAAGAACCTCAGATCCTTTATTGTAATGATCAATGAACTACTCTGTTAGATGTGTACTTTTATTCCCATCCCTACACAGACATGAACATTGAAGCTTGGTGACATTGCACAATTTACCTGGGGTTATACAGATAACAAGTCATGGGCTGGAATATGAATCTAAGGGAGAGCTTGATCAAAGCCCATGACCTTCCCTGCTCTACACATCCTAATGGATTGGAATAAATGCTCAAACACATTATAACTTATGGTTTTTTCTGTCTGTATCCATTACCCAGTTAATTATATGAACTGGGTAAAAGTCCTAACAGCTATGTCAGGGAAAAAGAATAAATTGTAAGTGGGGAGGATGATGGTACCATATATCCTTGTTAGTCAAGAGGAAAACAGAAAAACCACTATGAAAACTAAACAGTCAAATTCCCATGACATAATTATCAGCATCATGGAATAACCATACTTAYAACTTATAACAATTGTCATAATCATAACAATAATGTTTAAAATTGATTGCTTACATATAGTTACATGAGACCACTACATGTTTTAAGTTTTAATCATCACAAGCATTGTATGAAGGAAAAGTAYAATAATATCCATTTTATAGATGAGAAAAATTAAAGCATAGAGAGCGTTTAAGTAACCTCCACCTGACTAGCAGTCAAAAATTTTACATAGGTTATGAGATGCTAGAATCCATGCTCTTAACTATTTTAGGACATTGCAAAGAAAATTAAATACTATATGACATTATTACAATGAAACAAAGTACATTTAAATGTTAAAGTACATATTTCCATGCATGCCACAGATATTTTATTCTTTCATTGGTGCACTGTGAATTCTTTCTAGTTATCATCTTTTCAAAGGCAAAATAAAATGTAGTCTGATGAAATTAATTCACAAGCAAAACACTGCTGGGGCACACAGAAAATGGGATTTGAAACTCCAATCAAAGCTGCATTCATTTAGGATTAAGTAAAGCAGAAAGGAACAAGGGAGCATTAAACGTGTCTGGGAACACACCATCAAGGTATTGCACCAGTCCTCTGTCCAGGTGCGAACTCGGCTCCACCCTGCGCTCAGGACACACAGCTTCTCCTCCAGGACGGGCCCGCTGCCTGAGACCAGGTTCTGGAGGGTAGCACTGCTCTCTGTGATGGCATTTAAATCTGTTTTTTTCTTTTCCAGATCCTTCAGAACATTCTAGAAGATAAAAGCACCAAGACCCATTTGATCTTTCAGAATATTAAAAAAATTTATGAACCCTATACATTTTTAACTTCTCTTTCACCTATGYACAGTAATCCACGACTTCCTAGATCTTCTGTAATGTGTCCAAAGTTTACAGACCCAATTTAGCAACAAGGTGAGAGTTCTTAGGTTCCTAACAAATATTACAATGTTTATGCAAAGATCAAAGAATGCAAGAAATTGTGATGTGAAAAGTGTAATTATTTAATTTAAGAATAAATTTTATTTATTACAAAAATACCAATCACCCTCCATCAGAGGTCTAAATAAAAAGAATCAATTTCATTTTTAGGAACAGAAAGCTGTCAAAGCAGAAAGATTCCAGAGCTCAGAATTCTAAAAATTTACAATGAATTTATCTCCTAGACCATCATGGGAATCTATTGCATGTGTACTATTATTACTCACAAGGATTCTGTCCTGGAGCTAAGTGTCTTGATATATAATGTCATATAAACATTACAAAAATGTTTCATCCTAAGAAAATCATTGAAGAACTAACAAGTCTATGATTCGTCTTACAACCACCAAAACATAGAAAAGGATAGTCGGGAAACTATGATAATCTGACTGAAAAAGTCTGAAATTTGAGCAGGCAAAGCTACATTCACAGAAAGGAAAAGTAAAACACTGAGTTCTCGCAATCAAAAACAACATGGACACATAGCTACCTCACTACTATCACTGCCCTGGCACCTTTTAAAATCTGTTTCATCGTCTTAAACCAACATTTAAATCAATCTCTTCAAGGAGCTCAAGTTTATATTTGAACATCATAAGATCACATTTTGGAAAGCATGCAAATTGCAAACCACAAGTGAGTAAAAGTTTAAACACTCACTTGGCCCCTGTCAATCATTGGTACATTTATGAGAGAAAGGAAATATTTCTTTCACAAATTTTTCACCAACAAGGAGTAAAAAGAAGACCCATAGCACACASTCTCTACTAATTCCTTCAGTGGTTATGTACTAATGGACTAAAATAGTCTGTAAGAGCTATAAGGAATAATTAACTACAAATAATCGAATTTAAATAATATACACATATATGTTAAAGATTTTATAGCAAAGAAAATACATTGAAAATAATGATTTTTGGAATAAAAATACTAATTAGGTGCAGAGATGAAAATGCCATGTAAGTTTTGCATTGAAAATAATTTTACGTAATCTTTAAGTGCAATGACACTAAAATGTTGTGAAATATGCACATTCCTTAAGTCTGAAAACATGGTATTGAAAAGATGGGTGATTATGGTACATGCTGATGTTTAATTTGTTTTATTCTAGTGAAAAGAATGGGCTGTATAATTTGTATACTTCATCTTCATGATTCAAATCTGTTATACGATCAAATGAAATTTAAAAGAGTATAATTCTAGGAAACAAACATCAATATTTATAGTCTTTACCTGAAAAAAAAGTGGCAAGAATCAACTAGAAATAAATTTATATGTATATAAAAAGATTAACTATTAAATATATAAAATTCAACATCACCTGTGTATTATCAGCAATTAGAAAAAAGAAAACACATGCATGCATTCATATAGCAATAGAATAAATATATAGGAGCAAACCTCTTTGCATATCTATATAATGTTTAGAATAAAAACAATCAAAATAGTATGTAGGAATGTGAAGGAAGCTGGCAGAGCACAGGGGATGAGACATACCATATTAATAAAAAGACTCAACAAGATATCAATTCTTCTCCAACAAATCCATTAATTCAATGCAATTCCAGTCAATGTTTAAAACAGTGCTTCTTTTAATAATTTGAGACTAATAATAATTCTTCATATAAGACTGACTATATACCAAAAAAGAAGCAAAAAGACTGCGAAATCCTTAATTATAATTAAAATATAGCATAAAATTGCATAGACAAAAACCAGGCATGGTGGTTCACACCTGTAATCCCAGCCACTCAGGAGGCTGAGATGGAGGATCCTGAGTTCAAAGCCAGTMTCAGCAGCTTAATGAGGCCCTAAGCAACATAGCAAGACCCTTTCTCAAAATTAAAAAAAAAAAATAAAAAGGGCCGGGGATGTGGCTTGATGGTTCAACTCTGGTACAAAACAAATAAATAAATAAAAGTAAAACTACATAGATAAGGAACTGAAACATTTTACAGGATCATCAGATCAGTGCAGCAGAAAACAAGGAAGCGCAACAGGTAAATAAGAAGAATGACTTTGGCATGTCATATCAGTAGAGAAAGATCACTCAATGAACAGTGCCAAGATCACTGGTTACCTATAAGAGCACTCTAGAGCCTTATCTCATCATGTACAACAAATAAACTCTGGAAGAATCAAAGCATTAAAGGTAAAAAGATGATAGTATAAAAGGGTTTGAAGAAACTATAAATATAGTATATAAACATAGTAAATATAATGTAAATCACATGACCTTGGAGTAAAGTTGGCCTTTCTAAATACTAAAGGCAGAAATAATGTTGAAAAGATGGATTCCATATGTTTAAAAGTACACACAACCATTTTTGTCTTAAAAACTTTTAAGGAAACTCCATGGGCAGCAATAGCTTTTTGCAGTCATATTCAACACACTAAGAATTAGTGATCTTAACAAAGAGCTTAAACTAAAATAGTAATCTGGGGATAGAAAAATGGCCAGAGTTACAGGAAAAGGGACATTTTTAAAGAGAGTTACAGGTGGCCTATAAACTTATAGAAAATATTCTAACTCAATAGCAACAACAACAAAAAAAGATGTTTGCCTACTGTGATCAAAGTTGTAATTAAAGCAAGCAAATACAAATTCTCATTCATAGGTGGGACATATAACATTTCCAAAGGGCAATTTCTTAATGTGCTTAAGGCTTTAGGATAGATATGTCCTTTGAACCAATAATTTTAGGGCAAAATACCTATCCACATATGAATGTTAGCTATGATTTAGCCATGAGAATATTCATCATAGTGTTACTTACAATAGTGAAAAATAGTACTKATTTCAGTAGGACAAAAAATTAATGAGATACTATGCATATCTCTAACATGTAATACAACCGTTACAGGTGAAGGAAAATGTTGAAGATATGAATTTTTAAAAGAAAGTCATGAAACACTAGATATGATATAGTTGCTTTTTAAACAATATAACTATGCCTGTGTGTGTCAATATGTACCTGGAAACACACACACACACACACACACACACACACAGGAGGGGAGTGTTTGAGTATAGGTGATTTGGCTTCTGTTTTGTTTTTTTTTTTCCATATCACACTGTGCAAATTTCATTCAATTAGCTTATACTGCTCCATTTCTCACAATTATAATTAGCTACAGGCAACTACAGTCAGAAAATATTAAATGGAGAATTCAAAAAATAGACAATTTAGGAGATATAAATGGTATGCTGTTCTGAGTAGCATGTAGAAATTTCCTGTTATCCTGCTCCTTCCTGCCTGGGATGTCCGGTGGGGTCACAATGTACACCCTCCTCATCTAGAAGTCACTTTGCAGCCCTCTCCTTGATTAGATGCACAGTTGCTAAGTCGCAGGGCTTGTGTTCCAGGAACTTTTATTTTACTTCCTAATGGGCTCAAGTGCTAGTTGTGATCCCAACAATGCAGAAAGCCAAGGGACACTGTAACATGAGGGCCTAAAGGAAAATGGTAYCAACTGTCAACTTCACAAAGAAAGAAAAGCATCATGTGCATCAAGTGGTAGGGCCCATGTTAAGGATGAATTTTCTCTATGAAATTGTGAAAAGGAAAAGAAAATTATGCTTGTTTTGCTGTCTCACCTCAAACTGCACAAGTTATAGCTCCAGTACACAGTGAGAGGTCAGTTAAGATGGAAAGGCATTGAATTCGTATGTATGAATATAGGAAAAAGCACAATAACACAGACCACGGTATTATCTGCAGTTTGGGGCATTAACTGGGGATCATGAAATATATAGATAGCAGGAACTGATGTACAAAAATTATGTTGCTAATAAGAAAATAATGTTTTTTGTTTTGATTTGGTTTAGTTTGGTTTGGTACTAGGGATTGAACCCAGGGGCACCTAACAGCTGAGCCACATCCTCAGCCCTTTTTTTTTTTTTTTTTTTTTTTTTTTTTGAGACAGGGTCTCACTAAGTTGCTTAGGGCCTCCCTATATTGCTGAGGCTAGCTTTGAACTTGTGATCCTCCTATCTCAGCCTCCTGAGCTGCTGGGATTACAAGCTTGCACCACTGTGCTCAGTGAAAATAATGGTTTTTACGGTAGACTGTACAAAGAAGACATTTCCTTGAAGAACTTGAATTTAACAAAAGCCTTTGCTTTGCATTCACCCATGCAACACCGATGCCTTGCAACATCCCTCATTCCCTCATACGTCCCTTTCTTTACCCCTTTCACTTACAAAACTTATGGCATAACCACACTTTTTGTAAGCTATTTTCCACACTGTGAATACTCTTCTCAGAGCCTACTACTTCATTTTCTCTCAAGTGTCATCTCCACTGAGCATTTAAGGTAAACAGCAGCTGCGTGTCACCMAGCTACCTCCAGCCACCTTTGGGAAATGCCCACAGTGAACACCTACAGAGACTATCAACAGGGATACTCCAGGCTCTATAGCAACACCTGTTTCTGTATCCATTATATTTTTTTAGCACTCTTGCTAGTATATCTGCTTCTGTCTGTAAATAAGTTGACAGGGAACAGAGTTCCTTGGTAAAAAGAACTGCTCTGTGATCCAATTGACTCTTCATGCACCTCTGAAAATTGGCAGATCAACTCTCTAGTCTCTGCAACTGCAAAATCACTCTAGGGCCAACGAAAAGTCTTTTGTTGGTTTTGTTAAAAAAAAAAAATCTCACTATTCTTGACATTAATTCGTTTATTATCAAAAGACTGGTTAAAATATTATTAAAAATTTAAAATCAGCACGATACTTTGTAAAGACTGAATATTGAAACAATTATACTAATTTTGAAGGTGGTTTCAAGTATCACATAAACATAATACTTATAAAGGCCTTCATGATCCATATGAGTTCACTGCTTTGGGAATAAGATAAAAATATCTTCTTAAAATATTTATTTTTAAAATGTTCTTCCTGGGACAGAGAAATGGAAAAAAAACTAAAATAAAATAAAATAAAAGGCTATATTTAATATGAAATGGAAGAAAATAGTACCCACCAAGATTATCCCCTACAAGTGCCAAAGGTCACACTGAGGAGATATCAACTTACTTTAGCCCAGGAGATTTCCGTGTCCAAGTCAGCAAGCACACCTTCCGAAGTGGACTTCTGTACCAACTCCGCTTCAGTAGCAGAGAGCCATTCCGAGAGGCAGGCGGCCTCTTTCTTCATTTTCCGGGCCAGCTGAGACRCTCTTTCCAGGTCCTGCTTTCCCTCTGTCACCTGAACAGCAGAGACAAAGTGTGAGAGATTGAGTCTGAGGCAAGATTGAACATGAACAGGAACAAATCCAAATATCAATAAAAAGATCAAAACTGATTCATATTTAACCCCCAAGACRCCTATCACCTTTCCCTCGAACATGTCAGAATCGTCCAATCTCGCATTTCTGCAAGAAGACAATCAATCTACTGAAGTGGCTGAAGGTCAGACAGCCTGGGRTTGTGATCTTAGCTCCTGACACTGGTAGAAGCACAGCCTTTAAAGTTTGTTATGAGGATGAAATGAGAACCATACATATGGGAAGGACTTGGCCCAGTCCTTGGAACAAAAGAATCAATAATCAAGCATGTATTATAATTTTGAACAAAAGATGGCAGAATCCGCTCAATGAAAAAACTCCATTTAAAAAGTGCATATATACTATATTATGAAAATTTGAGAGAGAAATAAGCACTATTTTCACAGTGGTATATTTTACAATTAACAACATGATTTACAATACTATGCAACATAAACCTTATTATTATTTTGTTCTTCTTGTTTTGGTTTGGTTTGGTTTTTGTACCAGGGATTAAACCAATGGATGCCACATCCCCAGCCTTTTTTAATTTTTATTTAGAGACAGGGTCTCACTAAGTGGCTTAGGGCCTTACTAAGTTGCTGATGCTGACTTGGAATTCATGATCCTCCTGCCTCAGCCTCCCCAGTCACTGGGATTACAAGCAWGCASCACCATGTTCGGCTTGTTCTTCTTGTTGTTGATAGAAAGCAAAACATTCACCCACTTCTTAATACARCTTCTGTTTGTGCTAAGGAATCCGATATGTGTCATGCAATAAAATCCATCACAGCTCTGGGACAGTCACTATTCTCTCTACTTTACAGATAAGGAAAATGAAGCTTAAGAAGATTAAGACCAAGACAGAGTCAGCACAGCCACTGAACTGAGCTGGGTCAAACCCATCACATTCCATGACAGTATCCCCAAACCAAGGACAGTAATTCACAATCTACAGCTGAGAAGACACCCCCTTAAAGGACATAACAGCATAATCCATAAAGTGATTTCTTATTTTGATGAGTACATATGTACACATAATAAAATCTAAATAGTACAGGAATATGTCATATATGAGATGAGATTTCTTAGATGACATAAAAGCCAAAATTTTGTTAATAAATAACAAGGGAGTATATTTGGTTCTTCTCTCCACCACCCCCCCCCCATTTTCAATTTCACTTTTTCATACCTCAAGGATTTATTGCTATTAAATTCCTTCTAAAAAAGTGTTTTCCCCCACAGAGTTCAATTAAAATTTTAGACTCTTATAGCATCTCAATACAGACTTTAGAAACAAACACTTGACTTATATTAAAAAGATATTATGTATTCAAAAGATACTTATCTGATTTTGGCATGCCCAGACAGCTCTACAACCATTATAAAACTTAATGCCACCAAAGATTTGCATATACCAGGATGAAAATCATTTACAGTTCAACGTATAACAATTTATACTTTTTTCAGTCGAATCAATACATTTTAAGATGTTCTGCATATTGAATTAGGCCATTTCAAGTTGTAAATCTTTTACYTAGCCATGTATCCCTTCTCCCTCATGGATATGCAATGACTTCTTCTCAGTGGACTGGTTTACATCAGCTCTTAAACATACTCATTGCTCACACTTAAAAGAAAAAATTTAAAAAGCCCCTTGTTGACCCCTCCTTCCCTACGGACCTTCGTCTCTTCTACTTTTCCCATACAAATCCTCAAAAACATTTTCTTACAGTACCGGTTTCCGTGCCTCACTTACCACACATATCTCAAGCCAGGCTATTTGGCTTCTACCATCACCACTCACTCTACCATCACGTCTCACAAGAAAGACCATAACAAGGACTTTCTCCATGCTCTCTATGCACTTCTTCCTACCTCTCTCCAATTCAGTCTCCAAAGTGCAGTGAATGACTTTTTAAAAAATACATTTCTGGACCAGTCATCTACTGCCTAACAACCCTGCACAACTGCTTGTTAATCTTAAAACAGAGATTAAAATCTTTAATACAAACTTGGTGACACCAGCAGGGTCTGGTCTCATCCTATCTCCCTGACACCATGTTCTCCACACGGGTGTTCTCTCTCTCTAGCCATACCTTCTCCTGCCACAGGGCTTTTATACATGCTATTCCATGAGCCTCAGGAGCCCCTCCTCTAGTTTCACCCAGGATACTCCTACCCATCTTTCAGGTCTTAGCTAATGTATCATTTCAGTTATGGTTTAGACAGAAGATATCCTCCCCGAAAAGCTCATGGTGTGAGATATAAGAATTTTCAGAAATCAAAAGATTGGATTATAAAAGGATTAATTCACTGATATGGATTAATTTGGCAATAACTGTAGGCAGGTACGATGTGGCTAGAAAAAGTTAAGTCACTGGGGGTGGGGGGTACCTTTGTCCTTGAAGAGCAAATTGTTTTCTCCTTCTCCCTCTCCTTCTTAGTTGCCATGTCCTGAGCCACTTCCCTCCACCACATCTCTCCACCATGGTGGTCTGCCTCACCTCGGGCCCAGGGCTATAAAGTTGGGCAACCATGAACTGAACCTCTGAAACTGTGAGTCAAAATAATCTTTTCTTTCTAGAAGTTGTTCTCAGGTCTTTTGGTCTCAGCAATACAAAGGCTACTAAAACAACACCCTCAGGAAGCTTTCCTAACCAAAGACTGGACCAAATCATTATCCATGTCACACACATCCCTTCAGAACACTGCAGAGTGACATTCTGTAACTACTCCACGTAACTGCTTGATTGACAGTTTCCTCTTTCACGACCCTCAACTCCCCAGACGAAATATATATATATATATATATATATATATATATATATATATATATGTTTTTGCTTACCACTGTATCCCTACTACCTATATACACAGTGAAGTCTAAATTTTTTTGAATAAGAAAATTAGTAAATGCCAAAACCTAATTAATGCTAAATTAGAGAATTAGTATAGAAACCAGCAAATCCATTCTCATCCTTATAATACCCAAGCCAATGAGAAACTCCAAGACATGGGTTCCAGATGCACAATATATATCACACCAACAACCTGATCTTGCAGAAATGAAGTCAAAACCACTTAGAAAAAGTATAGACTGTTTATTCTTCTTGGTTTTAAGTTGATAACAAAATTTGAGTTATTTTTCTCTGGGCTTATGCAGAAACTTCAATATTACTTAAAGCAGAAATTGTTAATATTTACTAATGGAAAAAGGATCCAAAACTTAGCCCAACGGTTTTTCAACATTGCCAAGGTTTCACTTCTACATGTTCCTTTGCTCTCCTGTCTCAGGGCCGAGATTCTCAATGAGAAAGGACAATAAGCCCACAGTATTCACTCAGTCCATCACAGTAAATGGCCCAACAACTTCCACATGGAGTCACTAAAATGCCCAAATTATGGAAGTTTCTTGGCAGAATTTTAAATCCTGGTAGATTAATATGAACGTCCTGTCACTTAATATTTACTAGCTGATATTTTACCATTCCTCAATACACTATTCAATTTAGAAATACCAAGACCAATAACTCGAGTTTACATAGTGACTATTSTTGGTGGAATTTCCTTAGAATAATATACGAATGTCAGTAGACATTGAAAGTATAAATATTAATTTGGGTTAAACATTAAAAATAAATTCCCAATTCTCTATTAATCATCACAATATTAACAGAAACATTTAAAGAAATACAGCAAAAATTCCTGGAACATGTATAAATGCCATAAATTTCAAACATGCATTTTGCAAGAACGTGAAATTTTAAAATATATGAAAGAAGTGGGGGTGTAACTCAATGATCAAGCGTGTGCTTAGCATGCACAAGGTCCCAAGGTTCAATTCCCATAATGAAAAAATAAAATAATGAATAAAATCATATGAGAGAGAGAAAGTAAGCTGTAACATTGCTCTCCTTACCTGAGCACCCAGGTCATTGTACAAGACCTTCAAAGAGGTCAGTTGCTCATCCATCCCTTTAGGGTTGTCCGTTTGCTGCTTCTGGACAATGTGTCTCCCTGTTTTGATTACAGTCTCCACTTCAAGTTTAACTTCACTCAAAGTTTTATAGAGTTTCTTAAAAAACAAGAATGAAAAGTTTCACATTGTAATTAAAATTTGCCAACTGGGATCATTTCAGAATGCAGCTTACACAGATTGACAGCTAAGAACTAATGATGGAGGTCAAAGGGCATTTGCTTTCTCAAATGGAGTTCAAAGGTGGAGTCAAATTAAATCAAGGTTGTAATAACTTTTTCAAATCAGATAAGAAAGTAAACTAATAGAGGTTATGCTGGTTTGAAAGAAATTCAGACGTGTTTTAAATGTTGATGAAAGTACTTAATAATATAATATGGATATTTTTTTCTATATAATGTGGAGAAAATATTAGCTTAAATGTCTATCATGTATAAAGTTACATTTGAGGGCTGGGGGTTAGCTCACTGGTAGTACATGTGCTTAGCATGCATGAGGCCCTGTGTTTGAATCCAGGACCACAGAATAAACTCAGGGTTTCACATATGGAGGGTAAGCACTCTACCACTGAGCTATATCCTGAGTCTCCCCCAAAAAATTTCACTTTAAAAAAAGCCCTAAATGCTAAGACCAGAAAAAGCCATCACTAGCTATTTCTGGCTGATTGAATTTGGAATTTATAACATTTATGTGTTTCCATTCTCTGAAATAGTAAGCCTACCACAATGAGCAGGTACTACTTAGGTATTGAAGACATATAAATCTTCATCTGTCGAGATGAATATGACTACATGCAATCGGAGCATAGGTCAAATTCAGAGCAATTCTCACTGCAGTCATCTCAAACCCCAAAGCTCTGTCTGGGCAGCTTCACWTGACTCCATACATCATCCTCCTAACCTGAAACATCTCATAGGACACTGTCACCTAACAGAACAGTGAACCCACTTACATGACATCAAGGACTGTGCTTGCTTTGTTTGCCACTCTATCCTATTAAGTAAATAAATGCTTACATATATGCACAAGTAGATTATTTTTTTTTTCCTATTTGTGCACTCTTCCACTCAATTAAATGAAGCAGACATTTAGACACTGCAGTTTGAAAAAGCACAAAGATCCTTCCCTGGTTTCACATATCTGATGAGTGTTAACTTGTCTTTTTATAATTCCCAAGAAGAACACTAAATCTAAGATCCCGTCCTCCTCACCTCATTATTTTAAAATTTCTGTTGAGTTTTAAAGTTCAAGACTGAAATAGTAATAAGGCCTTATACATCATTTCTTCTTTTCAATCTTAGGTTTAAATTCTGATTGAAACTTTTATTTTCCTAGCAAATAAATTTTTTCATATTATAATGTTCCTGACATCCATTCTAAGAATAAATTTTTCTTCCATATTTTAGTCTTCAGCTTTATAAAACTTAGTAGTTAACACTGCACTTTCCTTGGAAGAGATTTTTTTTTAATGTGTTAATATTCCTGACATCCATTCTATGTATGGTTCTTCTAGTTAACTCAGAATTATCCTTGAAAATTTAGCTTACCAGTCACATTCTTCTGACACCTTTCCTAACTTCATACTGGGATCTTGTTGTATGATATATGTTTCTAATTATACAATATGTAATACCATATTTTAAAAGCTAGAATAAATTTGCAATACATGCTAGTTTATTCTAGTTACTGTAACTCATGTCACAATGATCATTGACTTTACTCTCTCTTATGTCTCTTACCTTTTAAAATTCCCTTGGAAGGAAAGACCACATTTCATATTTTTTAATGTGTTTTCCATGATTCCCTCCCTGTGTTTAGCAAACTCTGTACTAACGACCATATGCAGAAGTACTATCCTGAGTCATATCATCTGCCTGAAAGCCCACCAACATGTGGCTCCCCAACAAGTTACCATGCACTTGTCCAGGTGGGTCTGGATGACCTCAGGGTCTACATCCTTCACATCCAGAACATGAAGCTCAGCTTTCACACCATCCAACACACGCTTACAGTCCAGCATGCGCTGCTCAAAGTTAGCAGGCTTCTGGAAAAGCTGGAATTTGGTAGACACCTCTCGAAGTTTCCTCTGTTTGCAGAAATGAAAGTGATAAGCAATTCGTATCAGAGTGACAATCTCTCTCACAGAAAAGATATCAGTATAAGACATACTGCTAAAAAGCTATAAAATAAAACACGAATAAAAACATTCAGTATGATGGCAAAAAGAAGATATCTTAAAGGAAATCTTAAAGGAATCACATGATTGTGTAACCTGCACAGTGTCATAAATCTGTGTCTTCATCTCAGAAATAATAAATGTGGATAATGCTGGTCTCACTAGAACTAAAATTTCATTAATTTTCTCACCTGAAAAAAAAAAAAACCATCATTCGGGTACCCAGAACTCAAATGCCCTTCAACCCAAATTCAGAGTGAAAATCCATGTCACATGGACCATTAAGAAACGTAAGTGATACTGCATCCCATAAGCCCTCAGCCTGCCCAGTACATCAGCCACGCCAGTACTGACAGGGGCTTGTACTGAAACAACAGTCTATAAAGCTAACTTCTAAAGCTAGCTCACTTGCTCTCTTCTCAACTATAAAAATCAGATTCAGTATTTTTCTACCCATGCACCAATTTGCTCCTGGGATGCAATGGGATTCAATATATCACTTCCATTCCACAGTCTTACATCATAAACAATACCAAAGACACCTAGGAATCAACTCTTTCTCTTTTTCTTTTTACGCTGTCATTTTGAAAAGGAAAAGGAAGCGCCTTGCCCTATTTACCTGTAGCATGTCCATCAGATTTCCTCCTCTAGCAGATCTGCCTTCTGGGGAGGTTGGGGGCTGGGAACGCTGATTCTTTCTCAACTCTTCTAGAGTGAGCTCATGGGCTGAGATCTCTGCTTGAATTTTCTACCAAGAGATTAGAAAGAGGAGAGAACAGGGTTGGTTTGTTTGTTTGTTTTAAGTATAAAAAGAAATAATTCAAAAACCCCATATAGTTGTGCAATATATAATACCATATTTTAAAAGTAAGAATAAATTTGTAATATATCTAAGAATAATGTGGACCACATCTGCAGCATGTTACGCACATGCCAAAGTCTTTGCCTCTGTCAATTCCAATGTTCACAACTTATTTATAAAGAAGACATTGCCCCAACCTCATAGAGTTTGAAAACCATAGTTTAAATGTGTTGCTCATTGACCAGTCTCACAGGGAGCAAGAGAACACCAAAATCCAGGAGCCACCTGATGAGTACAGTGACCCTCTCTCCTCAACTCTAGCTGCAGGAGTTCACTGGCAGCTGAGGAGGAGGCTACATTAGCTCTTCTTTATAACTCTAAAGCCCTCAAGCCCATGGCAATACCTGAGCTTCTTGAGGAACTTGGAAGGCGTCTATCCTGTCAGTCAAATACGTGGTGAGCTGTTTATCCAGCTCCCCCAAACTCTCCTGCAACACTTGAAGCATGTGGTCAGTTTCCCGCAGGACCTGGAGTTGCTTTTCCAAAGAAATCTGCTTGCTCTCCGCCTACACAGAGGAGAAATTTAATCATTAGCACAAATATAAATTGCTGAGTATACACTCCAGCCTCAAAGCACTAGTACAAGACTTTGGCCTTTCTTATAAATAAATAATAACTATCAATGAAAAGAGTGAAAATATCCATCTAGTATCTTACGTACCTTATCCCAGAAGTAGAAATTATTAATTACTACTTTTCTCTGCATAAACTAACAAAATACAAAAATGGAAAGGTTTCCTATAGAACACAATAAAATAAATGTTATTTATTATAAATTTAGAGTATTCTTAGGAATCGCCAATGTTTATCATGAAAAATATAAAATATAACATGAATGTGAATCAATAGTGCAAACATCTGAATCTCGGTTTTTCAAAATCTAAAACAAATTCCAAAGATGCACATGGGTCTAACCACTATTTGCTGCCCTTTGGGGTTAAGTTTGATGCTATTCATGGACTAAAAAAAAACAGTTTATTTAGTACATGTTTGAAAACATCTAATACCCACCCAGCATTTCTAAAAAAACCAGTGTCCTTTCTTTAATTATTGATATGAACATAAACACTCAGATTTAACTTGGATATGAACCAAGAGATTAGGGCTTTTCAACAGCTTATGTCAAATTCTGATGGCCCTAATTTTTATGCTATCATGTGATTCTTAAGGGAAATTAAATGGTTCACAAACAGAAATAACCTCAAAGATAATTAGTTTTTAAACATCAGGTTCAGCTTGCCTTATAAACATGAGGTCTCTTCTTCTCTATCTAAAGTTCTGAATACCAACTTTAACCAACATTAAAGTTTTAATCAGCATTAACCAACTTTAGATGTTGTTAACTTTAATCAAAAACTAACACTCCATCAGATGGAGCTTGGGGGTCAGCCCTGTATCATAAACACTCCATCATACACATTCATGTCCTGATTCTTACCAGGTGACTCAGATCTTCATAGCGGCTGTTAAAAGCCTCCAGTTTCTCACTGATGATGTCATCTAGGATCCCCCCATCAATCAGAGTCTGGCCAAGTTCCCGAATCTGGGTGCGATTATCTGCTGGGTGGCGCAAAACAGATTCCAGAGACTGGACCAGGGACACAGAAAGAAATATTTACTAGGGCAAAATAGATCAAAGATCCTAACACTATGCCATTTAAATATATATAATGTGTAGAAATCTACCTAAGGAATCATACCAGAAGTTAAGTAAACAAGTAATGAAAAAAATTATACATCATGGTATTAATAAGTTAATAAAACTAAGAAATCAGCATGAATAAGAGATAATTATACAATTGCATAAAAAATAATTTCAAAAATTATTCATTATATAGAAATTCCCATAATATATGAAGCTTGGAAGCAGAAGCAGTACCTTACCAACAACATTATCTGAACTGTAAATAATTATGTTACTAAAAAAATAGGACTCATGTACCTATAAGACATACTAAACACTGTTTGATATACACACTTTTATTTACATAAATCTAATTAACCATGAGTTAAATATTATTCCCATTTTGCAGACTGGGAAATTGAAGCTCAGAGAGATGAACTAGTCTATATACACCCAACTAATAAAAAGAAGAGCTGAGATTCCAACTTACTCCTAAGCTATTATGACCCAGTGCATCAGTACTGGGTCATCATGTTCATAAAAATAATAATTAGGAAGAAGTATACAAAGTATGTAAGTGTTTACTTTAAAGKTTGCTTTTTACTTTTTTCTATTTTCCAAGCTTCTAGAATATACGTTTACTTTCAGATTAGGAAAACGGGTTTTCTTAAAGTAAGCTTTCCATTATTGTTCATTCTCTCAATTCCTCACTCTGCTGTATTTGAGAAATGACAGTTTCTCTCTAGCAAGGCATCCATCTCCTGGAATGTAGGTCCCACAGTTCACTTATTTCTGACCTTCAATCCAATCATCCATTCAGTGCCCACAGAGCACCTCTAACGTTTAAAAGCATATCCACCCATCTCTCCTTTTTTTTTTCTTAAGTGAACCTAACCTTGTTGAATTACAATTCCTTTAAGAAACGGTAATGAAGGTATCCTGTGTCTCACACTGCACTGTAACTGAAAAACACAAAGAATCGGGAGCACTTGTTGGTCCCCAGGAGCTGGAAGACGAGCCTTAAAAGACCAGCTCTGATGAGGAGACCCCCAGTGTCCACTACTGCCCACACCAGTCTCTAACTTGCAACATCTGGAGAGGATGGACCAGAAACGGCTGTAAACACAGTCATTGCTGTGCTTAGTGAATAAATATAACTAGTTAGCAGCTGTCCTAATGACATTCAGAGTTTTGTCCAGGGATAGGGAAAATGAACTGGAAACCCACTAGAGAGCTGGCTTTACCATCTAGAAGGCGCTAAGTGCCACACAGCTAACCACCTCAGAGGCTTATGCCATAAGGTCCCGTTCCGCTAAACCAGCATGACTGCAAAAACATGGCAGGCGACTGAGGACAATGAATCCCAGGGAAAAGCACTGAGGAGGCAAACCCATGGGCCATGTAAAGCCCTGTGCTCCTCATATTGATAAAAGTTTGTTCTCCTGGCAACAGACAAAAACACCACCCAGAACACTGGCTCCCACCTCTAGGGCTTCATTGACTGTATCCGTCCTCTCTGGCAACGCCTCTGTGCTCTTCACCCGCTCCTCCAAAGTGTTCAACCAGGTGGTTTCAAGATCCAAGTAGTGAAGCAGTTCAATCCAGCAAGACCACACCTCCTAGAGCACRCAAAGAAAAGGTTTCAATTGTCCAGAAACCACATCATATGTTGTATCTCTAGTGTTGCACATTCTCCTCAATCAATAATAACTTCATCTAAAGATAAGTAGGTGTGGGAATTTGAAACTGATGAAGTTGGAATTCCCAATAAGTGCAAGAAAATTGAATTTGTCAATAAATTATATTAGACCAATAAAGGGGGGRGGGACAAGGAGAACTGAGATAGAGACTGCCCCACTATTTACATTAAAATACATTCCAAGGATCTAATGTCAAAAATAAAACTATGTAATAGAATTAAAAAAGAAACAATATTAGTTTTTTAAACAGAAGGTAAAGATCACTCATAACTGCAATATTTTAAATAATTTCACAGAAAATAAAAATCTCCTGGGGCACACTCAATTCCAACTCAGAGCTCACTGATATTAATAGTTTACTATGTTGCCTTTCCAACTGTGTTTTGATTCCTGAGGACAGGTCTATACAAGAAGAAAGCCACAGTTTTATTTTTGTTTTTATGGGTTTGTTTTTTGGTTTTTTGTTTTTGTTTTTTGTGGTGCTGGGGATTGAACCCAGGACCTTTTGTATGTGAGGCAAGCACTCTATCAATTGAGCTATATCCCTAGCATGAGAAAGGCACAGTTTAGCCAAAAAAGGAGCTATACTATCTTTACTGTGTTAGTTGCAATTACTCGTTCCCCAACTATAAGGTTTCTGGAGAACAGACTGTTGAGGAATGCATCCATTTATACAATTATATTCCTTTATTCCATATAAAAGAAACTTATCTGATGAAAGAATTTAGGAAAGTACTCAGATCCGAGCTTTCTGGGTCTGTTCTTTTTTAGATCTACTGACTAGGTGGAGGCACACTCTTCTCTGTGCTCTGGGTAAGGTCTGCTTACCAGAATAGGGGTCAGTAAGTATTCTGTAAAGAGCCAAACAGAAAATATTTTATTTTTAGGGGTTACATCCAGTCTCTATCACAGATTCTTCTTTGGCATGTGTAGGTGGGTAGGTAAGAGAGTTTGTGTGTTTTTTTCCAACCCTTCAGAAATATATAGAAATCACTCTTGGTTAACCAAGTGAACAAAACAAGCCACACATTAGATTTGAACCCTCAGTCATAATTTGCTGACCCTTGGCTTAGAGAAAAAGGAAAAAGAGGTTTCTAGTCCCCCAAATTTCTATAAGCAACAGATAGAGAAAACTGTTTATATTCAAGTTCAATCTCCTTTCTTACGGGAAAGAGAGGACAGTGGAGAGATCCCTCCCAAAGACAGAACTGAGCCCTGATCAAGCTGCTTCCTTACTGGCTGGTCTCAATTATGCATATTTACTTCAGCACAAATAGAATCAGAACAATCAAGTAGCAAGTGAATTTCTTAAAACACTCCTTTGACCTTTTTTTTTTTAATTTACCATTATAGGATTTAACATGATATAATCATTTGTTCTAGGTTGAACTGAATTTATTGTTATAAATTAAAATGCTTCTTAAATCGCTCAACGAGACTCTAATGAAAAAAAAATCTTTCTACAAGATATAACAAAAATCTTATAAAAACAAACAAGCAAAATCTTAATTTTATTAAATAATCACATAGTATCATCTACATCTCTAATCTAATGGCAAAAAAAAGGTATTTTATCTAAGGTTCAGCAAAATACCAACATTTTGTTTTGTTTTGATGCCAGTGTTTTTAARGTCTTTTTTCCTTCGGGTAACCCTCTTAACTTTAGACACTCAGAATAAGAAACTTCTGTTCATGGGAGATGTCTACAGTACATTGTGGAACTGGGTGACTGGAACAGACCCTGTGAATCATCTGTGCATGAAAATCTTGATGCACATGTGAAAAAATTCAGGATAAAGATATTAAAGGACTTGCTAAAGAACTTTCTGATAACTGGAGACAGAACTTGGTTTCCTCTTTTTAATCTCTCATTTTTAATCAACCTATTCCCTTAAAACCTTTTTCATTTTGATCCAATATATGGGAGAGGGATGGATGCTTTTTATTAACCAAGATATGGAAATTATCAATACATTAAAGAGTTTGGATCTGAGAAATGTTTCACTGAAAAAAACATATGTATCATACCTCTAGTGTGTGACACTTTCCTCGGATTCTATTACAGAGAAGTTGATAATTCTCCAGCACCACGTTCAGCTCAGACGTCAGTTCCTGGCCACCAGAGGGCACCTTGGCAGCTAATAATTTGATGTTGTCCTTGAGAATCTTCACTCTCACCTCCTTCTGCAACACATCCTCTTTGGCTCTCTGTTCCAAGAAAGGATGAACTTGAAAAATGTCTCCCTATATCCATAACTACTTTCTTTTATTTAAAAAAATGAAACAAAAATTAAAGTATTTTACATGATTCCAACAGCCTACCTGGAATATTATCTAGGTAATCACTACCTTGAGTGCTTCTAAAGTAAGGATGCAGAGTAAATTTTATACAGTGAGGCAAACAGCCCCAACAAAGTTTTATTTAATAACATCCAAGTTATCCTACATTGTTTACCAACACGGAATATTTTCAAATTATGGCTCTGAGATAACAATGTAAGTGATTTCATTTAAACTAACCACTTAAGGTCTGAGCATACCGGATAGAAATAGTGAATCTACACCAAAAAATTGAGTGGCACCTTGGCAGAGGCAACCTTTAAAAAGTCCTACAAATAAATGAAGCAATGTTTTTTCCTCCTAGAACATAGGTACATCTATTCTCCTGATAATGAACAGCAGTTCAAAGATGATAAAGTTACACTGGGACAATCTGATCCCAAAATAGCTGCTTCCTGACTCTCCCTCCRTGCTCCAGACGAATCATCTCACAGTCAAGAAAATAGCCTTGTCTTTCCATTCTGCTTTCTTTTGTGTTAATGGTTTTTAAGATTCCCAAGGCTGGGACAGGGGTGGTCATTAAAGACAGGGACTTTTAAATCCTTAATGGCTGTTTGGAAGAACAAAAATAGATTGTTACCCAGTAGGATTTTAATCTCATTTTTCTCAGCCCTCATCTAGAGTGACTTACAAAAGGTCAAAGAACTATACAGTCAATAATATCAAAGAAGTGACTAAATGAGACACTTTAAAATATCTTATATACTAAAATTGTAAAAATCTTTCAAAAAGAACTACACCAAAAATATTTCAGTGATAGTGTTCTAGCTTAAATAGTAGTCTCTTGTCCTAGAAACATTGGCTCCTATACAGTTTGCATGAACATAATAGAGGCCCTTTTTTCAAAAACACCTGTATAGAGTTTTTTGCTTTAGTTATACTTTCAGGCAAGTTAATCTTATAGAAAAAAAAAAAAACTTTAAGAGACTTCTACCTCCTTTAGCTTGAACACTCAAGGACAATTGAAGCAGTGTTAGAAGTTTGGGATGATGCCCAGTTCTTTTAATATATATATATATATTAAATATATATATAAAGAGAGAGTTCAAGACTACTGACACAGGAATATAAGTTTACAGGAAATACATCCCGTGAATCCAACTGGTATCCTCACCTCTGACTCCCTCCTTCCCTCCTACTGCTCCTCTTACCTCTCTCGGGACATTCTGGTATCCACACATGCCCCAGGGACTGGAAGGAAGATCACTACCTTGTGAAATGACAATGACTTCCAACCAACTTCAGATGTCTCTCTTGTTCCTCATAAAACTAAACTCATCCTAAAAACCTTTTGAATTAGATCACAGGCTGCACACCATTATAATTAATACCACTGAAATGTGCACTTAAAAATAGTTARAATGGCAAATTTTATGTTATATAYATATTTACCACATTAAAAAATTATAATTCTTCCTCATACCCACTACCAGATGTTTTGGAGTGCCTCTCTGTGGCTGCTCATGGTCTCACCCTGAGACTGTCCCTGGGGCTCTCCTGGATTTAACTCATGGGTCAAGTTGAACCAGTGGATTCTTAGCCTCCTTTCCCCACTAAAATCATCATGGCTATCCGTCCTTATATACAAACATGTATGTATTTTCTTTTCTTTCTTTCTTTTTTTAAAAAAATTTAAATCCCAATGTGAAAGAGGAGGTGAACATCCAGTTCTTTACAGCTTGTTAGACTGGTTGGCTGGTGTTCAAGGAAGTAGAGGAGGTATGCAGCCTATGCACACACTGATTGCCTAGTCTCACCTTCATTTCTTCCACAGCACTCTCAAGTTCTTCTGGTGACTTGTATTCAAAATCCCTCTCCAGGTATTCCTCTTCAGCCTGGGTCATCCACTCCTGCATCTCCGCCAGGTCTTTCTTCAGGTTCACTGCTTTTTCCTGCCTTTCAGACAACCTATTTTTCTGAATAGCAATCTAGAAAGGAAAAGCCATTTCCCCAAATAAACAAATTTTAGTATATTCAATATCAAGTTCTAGTTTTTCATATTGGAAGACATATTGACAACTTCCTATAAGGAGTCTTATGTTTTAATATTCAGGCAAAACCTTTTCTGTATTTTGTGTAGATGCTGTGGAATAGCAATAATGAAAACAAGAGCATCACAGGGTTTCTCCATCAAACTGTGGATATTAACCTAATCTGGAAGTATCTATTATAATTTTGAAATTGGATAAATTTTGAGAGAGTAATCCCAGATGTAGGAATCTAATCTACAGCAATAAAAGCACATATGTCAAATAGACTTCTTGTAGCTCTGTTCATTATGAAAAGAAAACAATAAATAACAGAAGCAACCAAAATGATCCTTTTATGAACCCTATTAAGATTTCAMTTTTAAAAAGCAGACACAGGCAGGTTATTAGTAATGATTTTCATAAAACACTGTTCTGTAAAATTTTGGTTTTGATAATCTACTATACCAGACACACACAAATGTTACATTAGAAAGAAGATAATTGCCTGAATCTGGTTCACCACCTGAGTTAAGTATTTCAGAGAAGTCTAGGAATATTTTCAGAGAGCTCCCCACCTATCCACAAATCCACTTCCACCGTGAGAAGACCTGTTTCAGAGCAGCAGTTCAACCCTCCCCTGACAACCCCAACCTCTTGCTCAAACTCAATTTCACAGTTTGACCACCTTGMCAAGACTTGCTTGGCTGCTAAGCTGACAGTAACCAAAGGCCACTTACAGAGCAGAATGGCATTCACAAGGGTAAAGGTTAAGTAAGAGTTAGCAGCTTTCCTGTCCCCTCCCTCCAAACAGGATCTCAGTCCTGAAAATAGACAGGGAGCTTTTATTCTACTGCCCCATGGCATTCTGAGAACCAGACTACTTCACAGAGCCGGGCTATCATGCCTGCTAATCAGCAGCCCACCTGGTAAGCTCTTTGCAAAATTATTTTATGTGTGCATGTACATATGTACATAAATTCTCTTTGTTAACACTTTCCAAATAGTAGTCAGTTTTATCATTTTCAGGAATCTACAGAGAAATCAGAAAAATAATGACACTGTGGTGAGGTTTTTTTTTTGTTGTTGTTGTTTTGGGTTTTTTTTTTTTTTTAGAAAAAAACTCACAATTACATACTTTCTAATTTGGAACATTAATATATTCTTTCTTTCAATGATAACATGGATAGAATAGATGTGATAGACTGCACTTGTTTGTTGATTTGTTTTATACGCCTATCATTTCCCACTGAATGTCCAAAACATCTTCAACAGTTTTATCAGTCAATGAAATACAGCTGTCTGGATCTGATCTAAATAATTACACAATAACATGTAGTTCCTTCCTTGCTGAGGACACTTAAAATTTTTCCACAATTTATTCCCATACTTGGAATAAAAAACAATTCACAATGAGTGCTATGTTGTCATATGTAGATGGATGGATGGATGGATGGATGGTCCGACTGGATGGATGGACAGACGGATGGGCACATGTATGTTTCTCATTGCCACTTCTAAGCCATTTTCTCTATTTACTTTCTTAAAAACTCCAGCTCCTTCAAGCACATTCCATCTAATTATAGCACATATAGAGAAACACACATTGGCCAGCATATCAGGTGATGTTACAAAAAGATTATTTTCTTAAGTCTAATAACTCTATTGTGATTTTGGAGAAGAATGTCCTTATTCATGGGAGAAGCATACTCAAATATTTAAGGGTGGCCTGTCATGGTATTTTCAATTCCCTTTCAAAAGTATATTTTTAGAAAAAAGAAAACAGAAGAGAGAGAGAGAGAGAGAGAGAGAGAGAGAGAGTATACATGTAAATGTGAGAAACATGAACAACTGGAAAATCTCAGAATGGGTTTATGAGTGTTCTCTGCATCGTTATTTCAACTTCTCTTTAACAGTTGAACATGTTCAAAATAAGGAAGTTGGCTAAAACAATAGAAACAAAACAAAATGTTCAGTGATGCAAACATGGACTGCTTTTCCCTATAAACACTACCTACCCTCAGTTCTGAGAGTATCAGCAGAGTTGCCTTCCCCTGCGTAGCCACAGAGGAACCTCCACAGCCGCTCCTTCACTTCAGCTATGGATCTCATCCCCTCTCACACAGACTTCGATTCAGAAATTATCAATCTCTTTGTATCAATCAATTTCTCCTTCCAAGTGAAGCCATTCCCTTGGCAATCCTGCATTAGCTCTCATTATTTAAAACAGCAAAACCCTGTTTGAATCCCCCACCTTCAGCATCCACCTCTCTCCCCTTAAGAGAGAAATTTCTCAAACCCATTTTTTCTCAAGGTCATTAAAAGCAGCCATCTTTTCAAAACTAAAGCTTCATCTTTAGTTCTGGTGGCCTGAGCAGTCCTCAGCATGGGGCACGGAGACAAGCTTTCCTCTCCTGGCCCCTGGGAGTACTCATTCCCTGGGGTTACTTCTCTACATGTACCTGCCTTCTCAGCATCCCCTGATTCYCAGGTCACAAATGCTGAAAGTTCCATTTGCATGTCCAAAAGCATCTCAAACTTAATCCTTCACCTGCACCCACAGAAACTTCTTGTTGAATCTTGGTCACCACAGGAAAGAGCACCATAATTCATACAAAATGGAACCCCTGCAAAAATCCCATCCTTGACCATTTGTTTCTTTCTTCTATCACGCGTCCAATATTCTACAGGAGTCCCATCTCTATTTTCAAAATATAGTCCAATCCTAGAATTTCTCACGACCTCCACCACTATCTCCCAGTCCAAGGGGCCATCCTCTCTCTTCAGACTGCAGGAACCTCATGTGTATTCTCCCTGTTTCCATTTTTGCCTTCCCAGAGCAAATTATCCACACGAAAGCCAGACTGACCTCAAAAGATCAATCATATTGTCATTTCCCTGCTCAAAACCCACAAATTGGCTTGACATCACGCTTGAAGTAAACTCCAAAGTCCTTACTTTCATGACCATATCTAATCCATCTTCTGCCTACCTCTGACCTCAGATATTCCCATTTTCCGGCCCACTAACTCCTCTTACTYTAGTCCAGCTACACTGCCCTCATTCTTTATTGAATACACCAAGCTTATTCCCACCAGAGAGCTTTAAAACACACTGTTGCCCATGTCTGAATATTCCTGCCTGAGCCTCATATGGCCCCTCTTCAATTGTCCCAGTCTCAAAAAGTCCATTCTTGGCCACTCTACTTGACACAATCCCCATGACGCTAACTCCTGGTTATCTCCGCCTGATAGAATTCAGTATTTGCCTTATTAGAATGCTAGCTCTATAAGAGGAGAGTTTTTTCTCATTTATTGCCATATCCCCAGTGCCTGCAATGATGCCTACCAATAGATATCTAATTAATAAAATATTCATCAATAGCTGGTTAATAAATATTTGCTGAAAAAAAATAAATGATTGATGGCTGTGACCATAGGATAACACACTCAAACGTTCTGGGGTTAAGGCAAATCTCATAAACGTGTGTAGAGCTAGATTTTGAATAAAAAGGGTCAAGGAGTAAGTCCTGGGTCAAATCGAATAATTGACACTCTCATTTAATTTAAAAAAAAGGTATAAAAACATATATATAAACACTCTCTTGCTCCAACTTGMCACTCAGGCTGTAGTTATTCTGTACCACTGTTTTTGAAACTAGATGGGTTATAAAATCTGTTTTATTGATGAAAAGAAACCACTGTCTCCACTTCCTAAAAACCATAGAAAGTAAGTTAACCTCACCTCCTTGGTCATTATCTCCAGTTGGGTTTGGTAGTCAACCAGTCTCGTCTGCACCCAAGTTTTCATTCCAGCAGCTGGACAGCTTCGAAGGTTAGCCTCTATTTCTTTCATGTTTTTCAGAGATGATTCAATTGTTTCTATTTCACTAACAAATGCCTGAAAACATAAAATAAGCCTGTGTTGAATTCATGCCTATATAAGTAGATGCCATAATTATAGTTTGCCTGGATTCCTGCAAATATTATAAGAACAGTCTGCAGGGAAGTCAGGATTTTTAACTGCTTAAGAAATACTGTGCCTAAAGAAATCCATTTCACCTGGAGACTTCATAGAGCCATCTGCTAAATTAGATTGGAAATACTTGACTCTCAGTGGGGAAGACAGCTTTTAATTAATTTAGAGAAAAGCCTGATGATTTCACAAAGTATAAATTGCAATGCAGTATTACCAGCAAATTTCATTTGTTAAGTATGTTTTCTTTAAAGCCTTGCCATGTGGCACAATAAGAGCAATGTACAATTGGTAATTACTACACAAAGACTGTCACTGTCAAATAAGACAGCAGCTCTTAGGAATCACAGTTGCTCTTGCTCTCTCTGTCCAAAATTCTATAATCATGACCAAAAGTAAAACTATGAATAATCTGTCATTCGTCTATTAGTTGTAAAGGCAAAAAAAGGGGGGAGGGAGGGTTGTGATAAAACGTATCTTATCTGGATTTAATGCATGTCTGATTCCTTTGTTGTTGTTGTTGTTGTTGTTAACTCCTGGTGATCTCCTGGTTATCCCCAGGGGTACACTACCACTGCACTACATCTCAAGTCCTTTTTATTTGGAGACAGGGTCTCACTAACTTGGGGAGGCTGACCTTGAACTTGGGATCCTCCTGCCTCAGCCTCCTAAACTGCTGGGATTACAGGTTTGTGTCACTGAACATTGCAGTACCATGTCACACTCTTGACAATTTTAATAATGGCAACAAATAATTAAAAGGAAAAAAGTGTTGTTTATTCCATCAGGTTCCCGAGAACAGCAAAAACTCACCGAGCATTGGTCAAGCTGCCTCTGTAGACCCGCAGTGTCCCCTTGGGCAGCCTGCTCTTTCATCAAGAAGTCCTTCACGCCACCCATCCACTTCTCGATGACTTTAGAATCAGCCTAAATCAAACATAATACCAGAAAGGGATATTATACAGTGACACTGAACCCACTGCATCTCAAGATCTTTTGCAATTGGAAAAAAAGACAACTTTTCAAAATTTGATAGCTTCCTTTTCATTTTTTTTATTATTTTTTAAGCCTTCCAATTTTGAAATAATTGTTCTCTTCATTCTTGAGTAAAATCTTCAAGGTGAGAACTCAGTAATCATTCTAAAAATCTCCAGATTTTCCTATGACCTAAGCTGTTTTGCTTAAATGCAAGTAATAGCTATGAATAAAAATTCAAATTATACAAAAATGTTTTTTCCAGGTATAATCAGCTAAAAAAATATATATATTTGTTCTCATAGAACTTAGAACAAGTTAGTTGCTCAGAGCAGGAAWAAAACAACATAATGAAGGAAACACAAGAGTTTGTTCTTAGTTCTACAGCTGGATGGATGCCTTTTTATCTGAGCACCCAAAACAATCCACTGCCTTGTTCCAGACTTGCACCCAACATTTACTAAGCACACTGTGTTTCAGTTACTATGTATGGTTCCATGGGTTCGAAGACCAATAAGAAGGCAAAGGTTTTGCAGGAAAAAAAAAGAGAGAGACTTCAAAAAGGAGGTAACATTGGAACTGAACCTTAAAGAACGCAAAGTAATTCTAACTTTAGATCCAACACTAGAGTCATAGTCTTTTCTTCCCAAGCCCTCCCCACCACCCATTCCACATTGGTTGGTCTGCCCTGTTCATTTTTCTGGCATTGGGCTATTTATTTCCTTGTTCATTCCTGGAAGTGGGTATGAATTTCAAAACAGTGCATCATGTCTGAAGGCAGMCAAATATCACCTTGTCTTTTCCTGGTCTTCTAGAGGTTAAGCATCCATGATGCCTGTAGGACCTGATACCTGGGGATTGCACTCACCATTTTGACTAGTATGCTCTGGAAAGTACATCATTTTTTTGTGAAGGGGAAAGGAGAGTGGGGTACCAGAGATGGAAAACTCAGGGACACTCTACCATTGAGCCATATCCCCAACCCTAGTTTRTACTTTATTTAGAGATAGGGTGTCACTGAGTGGCTGAGCACCTCGCTTTTGCTGAGGCTAACTTTGAACTCGTTCATGATCCTCCTGCCTCAGCCTCCTGAACCTCTGGGATTACAGGAGTAATGTAGGCAGGCACTTGGCCTACATCAATTGTTTTTGTTTAATGCCCTTAAAATATGCCACACATGGGCTGGGGATGTGGCTCAAGCAGTAGTGTGCTCGCCTGGCATGCGCGGGGCACTGGGTTCAATCCTCAGCACCACATAAGAAATAAAATAAAGATGTTGTGTCCACTGAAAACTAAAAAATAAATATTAAAAAATTCTCTCTCTCTCTCTCTCTCTCTCTTTCTCTTAAAAAAAATATGTCACACAGAACCAGCCATTCTGATCTTTATGAAGTTGGAATGAATCACAAGAAAGGAAATTAACATATAAATATTACACTCAAAAAATGCCACCTAAAATGTTTTTAATTTTGTCTCTTTTATTGTAGGATTGTTTTGGGTTTTCTTTGTTTTTTTATTTATTCATAGATACATTCACCACAATGTTATTATAAATTAATACTACATAATTAAATCAATACTATAACTAATATATGATAATATAATGTATTCCAACATTTATTGGAATGAATGAACTACCACTAAATATATTTGCTATGTTACATATTGCTTAATTTACTATTGTAATAATTTAGAACTTGATCGATGTAATATGAAACTCTGCCTTGTTACTTGGACAGTAACAGGTAAAAACAGAACGAGAAGCAAAAAATGATAATTTAAAGTTTTAATACTTCCACTTTCCTATCAGCTATTCCTCCTAGCTTTCTCTCATTTACTAATCAGATCAAATTTTTATTTTATTTTATTTTATTTTATTATTTTCCTGGTACTGGGATTGAACCTGGGGCACTTTACTATTGAGCCACATTCCCAGTCCTTTTTATATTTTATTTAGAGACAGGGTCTCACTAAATTGCTTAGGGCTCTCTAAATTGCTGAGGCTAGCTTTGAAATCGCAGTACCCCTCTCAGCCTCCAGAGCCTCTGGGATTACAGGTGTGTGTCACCGTGTCTGGCGAGATAGACTTTTTATACTGGTTTCATTGTTGTTGAATTTTAGGTTTTCCCAAGTGAAAAAATAACGCCAATGAGAGTGTTTATCTGAGCGTTCCCCATGAGGACAGCATGTCAATCGTTAACCAACCCACCTTAGGCTTCAAAAGATGGGACTCTACATACTATTAACATCTCAGAGGTTCTCAACCTTATTCTAATAAGGTTATAAGAGATTGTTCTTAATGCTTGGCTGAAATCAAGAATGAACATGATTTGAATCAACAAATAGGAAGCCTCTTCAAAGGGGAGGTTTTATCTCTGTGTATCTAATAATCTAGTATTCCTCCTCCAAACAAACAAAAAACTAAATGCAATGCTTGAAGGAGAAGAGTCTGGACAAGGCTTGGTAGGGGTGTCCTGCAAGACATTCTTTCCTAAGTACTTATTAGCTCTCTAGTTGGTCATTTATCTTACAGGTCTGCCAGGAACTGAAACTGTTGAGCTTACTTTAGGTGTTGAGCTTTTAGAAACTGATGTTCCCCCTTAATTAGGACATTTATTCATCTCCATTTTTCTGGTAATTTCTCACAAGATCATGCGGTGACCCTGAAATCCTGGGTAAAAATCTCACTGCTACTTGGGATGCAGATTTATGCACCGGGAGGAAGCTAAGTGGTTTTTCCATATGATTTTCAGCTCAGACGATTCCACACTCTCTAGATTCAAAGGCTGTTCTCAGATGGAGATGGGAAGCAAAGCGTGCTTATGTGGCCAGACTCCTCCACCTCCTCTGTTACCAACACCCCATCCTGCTCAAGCACTTCTGCATCCCTTTATTTCAAGCGCTGCTTTGAAAGCTTCCCTCCTGTCTCTTCTTGAGTCTGTCACTGTTCTCAGAAGCCTGTGCTGTTTGTGTCTTTTCAGCTGGTTTTATGCCTCTCTTCAGTATTTGCCTTCTGAGATTGCTGGAGAAGAAATCTGGGGATAACATGCTCAGGGAGGGTGGGGCAGGACATTTGCCAAAGACAGAAGTATAAAATGAGAGAAAGTATGAATCCAACCACAGAGCTCGTAAAGTATGCCTCTTGGGGTAGGGTTTGTGGCTCAGTGGTACAGCGCTGGCCTAGCATGTGTGAGGCACTGGGTTCAATCCTCACACTGCATATAAATAAAGAAATTTTTAAAATAAAGGTCTATTAACAACAAAAAACAAACAAAGTATGCCTTTTAAAAATGGCCCATTTAACTTTGTTGGCTCAGATGCTTGCATTGATGGTTTCCATCCTCGACATTTTAAGAATGCTGTGTAACTGGACTGTATACCTGGGAAGTCCATTAAATCTAGTTTTGAATAAGGAAAACTGACAGTTTCATTCRCCAAGGATTTGCAAAATTTATATGGAAGCAAAATATTCCAAGGAGGTTTTTTAATCATAGTCAGCGTCAACTAGGATAAGCGGTCTTCACTACCCCTCGCTGTGATGCAAGGAAGGTGTGTGACCTCAGATGCCTTCCTTCCTCCCTGACAGGCAGACCCACATGATTCACCCACACCAGTTCCTCCTCTTGCTCTTACACTTTGACATTTAAATAAAAAAAAATAATAAAAAAGGAAGAGGAAAGTAACAGACATGGACGAACCATGCAGAACTGATCATAACAATAGTGACAAAAGCAACAGAAGGGAATTTGAAAAGCCACACACTGTTTTCACTACTTAAACCCCTGCATGGAACCCTGACCACACTGAGTTCTAAGCGAGGCCTTGTGCACCAGGAACGAATATGAATAAGCCTAAGTACCAACCCAGCAAATGACTTGCTTTGTGACTTTCAGAACCTAATTTCTGTCCTTTGAGCTTCAGTAGCTCTTCTATAAAATAAGAATAATAACAACAATCTTGCTTGGTTCTTCTGGAAAATAGATAATATTTAGACAGACTACATGGAAGCATGCAATTAATGGTAAGATCTACAAAACCAACTGCTTTATTATTACACCAAGTGAACATTATTAAAAAAAAAAAGAAAGAAAGAAAGTTACCACATCCAAGTCCTGGAGTGTATCTCCCATCTGAGATACCATGGAAATAAAGCAGCCAGAATGAAAATGTGCTTACATAAATTGTGTTTATTTTTTTTAATTGCTGCCAATATTAACACTTGTTCTGTCCTGTAACTGTTGAAAAGAAACTGTTTTAAAATGGCCATTTGAAAGAGCTGCTGCTTATACACCTCACTAGATGTGGTCAAACACAGTTCAGCAGGAGGAAGTTGAGTAGATGGGGGAAGGAAGGTGCAATCTTTAGAAATGCCTGGTAACAGTGGACCCCTGGGCATTCCACACTGCAGACACACCAAAGGCAAAGTCTTTAAAATCAAGACCAGGGGCTGGGGCTGGGGCTCAGCAGAAGCACATTTGCCTGGCATGTGTGAGGCACTGAGTTCGATTCTCAGCAACGTGTATAAATAAATAAAAATAAAGATATATCAGCTCTAATTTTTTTTTTTWAAATCAAGACCAGCTACCACCAATGTGTAAGAAGGTATGGGAGCAGGGGCTCCGCTCCTCTCTCCATTCTTCCACTCCATCTCTTCTCTCCCTGGAAGGAAAATGCTTCCTGTGCATTTCAAAAATACCTAAAGCAGCTGGGCACAGTGGCACCTGTAATCCCAGCAGCTCAGGAGGCTGAGGCAGAAGGATCTTGAGTTCAAAGCCAGCCTCAGCAAAAATCAAGGTGCTAAGCAACTCAGTGAGACCTTGCCTCTAAATAAATTACAATATAGGGCTGGGGATGTGGCTCAGTGGTGGAATGCCCCTGAGTTCAAACCCCGGTACAAAAAAAAAAAAAAATTACCTAAAGCCTGCAAAATCTTTAAGTCATCAGAGGTTACA